GGCAGGAAGAAGCTTCCTCAGCACCAGGCCTCAGGGCTGGGGCTTCCTCTGTCTCCTGTTTTCCTCCTGGAAAGGTTGATAGAAACCTCACCTTATCTAGAGCAAGTTCCCCGGGGCCAGAGCCGCACTTAGCGGGGCACGTCTAAGTCTCTCTTCAAGTCAAGTTACAAGTCTCCAGTCCTGCCCAACTCATCCTTGCTCCTTGCTTGCCTTCTAGAAAAGTACACGGATTCCCTCTGCCTTAATGAGTCTTCTCTGCTGCAGTTGATCCAAGTAATTTTTGCTATAGTTTGTTTCCTCTCTTCTGTCCTGCCTTATTTCCATTTCCTGGGTTTAACTGTTGCTACTTAACAGCATTGGTTATCGTCTTGGCCTCCGCTGCCCAGGGTGGTAGCCACCAGCCACAGGTGGCTACGGGGCCCTCGAAACGTGGTCCGGACTGTGGAGGATGTGGCCATGATGCTGACGCTTCCAGCTGCTCGTTCTCCCCAGCACCTTGCCCGCAACAGCTATTTCTCGCTCCCGTATCTCCTCTCGGTCCTTCCATTCCTTATTCCCTGTCCCCACCTCCCTCACTTATCTTTGCCCGGAACCAGCAGGGCTCCCAGGCCACATTGCCCCGGGCCCAAAGTGGTCTGGAGGAAGAGATAAGACTAATACATATCTGTCTGCTCCGGGGCAGTGACACCAGCCCGGCCCCTCTGTGACCCTGCTCTGTCGGGCCAGGGAGAGGCCACAGCGGGTCAGATGGCGCGTGCCAAGTGCGGGAGCAGGGCGCCTCTATCGAAAGGTCTGCTCGTTTGCGCCCGGCAGATACCCACGGGGCGGAAGGGAAAGAGGGACAGGGAGGGGCTTCGCTACCCTCCGCACAAGAGGGCTCAGGTGGGACCAGGTGCCCTCTGGGGGGAACTGTTTTCCTGGTGTGTGTCAGGGGGCCCGCTTGTGCAGTGTTCCGGGGACGGCCTTCTGGGTGGGGCCAAGCTGGGGGCAGGCGTAAACTGAAGCCTCCAGGACCAACCTCTGGGAACTTTCTTAAGGACGGTGAGAGGTTTGGCTTTTCTGTGCATTTCTGCTGCTTCAGGGAGGCCACTAAGGGGGTGAGGACAGCAAGGCCCCATTTGTGGCGTCCAGCAACACGCCCCTCCCAGAGGCGGGCCTCCTGGGCCGTCCCTGGCCAGACCCCTGGGCCTGCCTTCCCTACGGGGTGCTCTCACGTCCCCCTGAAAATCTGCTGCGTGTGGAGTGTGCCCCGAGTGGCTGCCAGGCCTGCGGTGCCAGGATGCCTGCGCAGGCCCCGCCCCCATCCCGGCAGTGGGGGCTGGTGGCTTGAGATGGGTCTGCTGTTGACTGAGAGGCCTGAGGGGCTTGCATCGATTTGGACTTCCCTTTGAAAGGATCCTGTTCTGATGGTCACCGTGGTGTCGCAACCAAGCAGCCTTGATAGGGCTAGGCTCTGCAAGTGACAGGGATGCTGCGATGGCCTTGGGGTTGAGAACCGGTGGAGCTGATTTACTGACCCTGGGCAGTGACTGATGGTGGGTGGCCCTCTGCGAATCCAGGTGTCCTCGGCCAGGCCCAGAGGGCACTTCTGTGCTAGGGGTGGAAAGGAATCCCGAGGTCAGCAGGGGCTCCAGTGCTGTCCCTCACCACAGCCCGGCCCTGAAGGGCAACAGTGACCAGTGACGATGGATGCCCATCGTCACACCAGGCAGGGTCCTCCCTCAGCTACGGGGGAGCTGGCGCGGCCTGGCTTGGTGCTGCGTGGCCGTGAACGGCCATCTGGGGGGCAGTGGGCTTTTCCTCACCCTGGCCCAGTTCATTTGTTTTCAACGTACAGTTGAAAACTCAAAAGTAAGCTTGTCAGCCACTAAAAAAAGAGAAAGGATCATACCTATCTGGCTCAGAGCGGGCTCCAGTGGGCGGGGGAGCTCTCGCCCTTGCTCAGCGCCTTCCTGCGGGGCAGCAGAAGGAAGCCGAGGTCGGGAAAGAACGAGTTCCCTGCAGGCCCAGGATCAGCGCTGTGCCCGAGGACTAGCTTAGCGGCTTCAGGTGAGCACAGGCCTCTCTGGCTTCAACCGTAAAAGGGAAATTGAGACTCCTGTGTTTAGTAAGATGCTTTCCAATTCACTCCTTCTGTTCTGCTTTGAAACCAGGGGGCAGTTATCTTTGTTGGGTTGTTGGGAGAGCGGAGGAGGAAGCGGAAGGGCCAGACCCTCCACCCAGTCGGTGTCTATTTCCTGGCTGTGCACGGAAAACTACGCCCTGCCTCCTACCCTCCGAGGTGCTCACTTCCTGCCTTCAGTGCCCATCCGCCCCCGCCTGTCCCCACCCACCCCCACACTCCTTCTGGGGCCAGGAAGGGCAGGGAAGGGTCCCCCCACCCCGTCACAGTGTGGTCATTTACAGAAAGGAGAGGCACAGGCTGATGTGAGCCCCCAGACATGGTCTTTAATTGATGTTTCTGTCCCTGCCTCCCCACCCCGAGCCCCAGATGACATATATACAGGATGCAATATGGAGCCAGTTCCAGGCCCAGGCCAATGCAGCCTCCAATCGTCCCTGGGCACTGCCAGGGTCGGGGCAGGAGGGTGCAGACAGCTGGGGGCCACGTGGACTGGTCACATGAAGTCTTAAGTTCTCCACACCTCCACCCCGCCCCCACGTGCGCACACACAGCCGTGTCCATGTGTGCAGAGGTATTCACACTTGTGCGGAGATGTGGATCCAAATGCTTGTGCCAGGTGCATTGCTGCCTGTGCGCACGTGTGCACCATCAGGGGGCGCCTTAAGGTATCGCAGCAATAGTGCAAAACCCAGCCCTCGCCCTCCTGCCCCTGCCCCAGCTTGCGGGTGCTGGTGGAGCGGGACTGGCCAGAGGGGTACTCCACCCATCCCCTCGCTTGGGCAGTGCCAGCTGAAGCTCAGTACTGAGGACCCCACTGTAGCCGTATCCAGTCACCCAAAAGGGTGTCAATGGGTCTCAGTCCCCAGTTTGCCCCGAAGGGTGATGCAGATAAACAGGGAGCTGTGTCCTCCATGATTCCCCCTCAAAGTTGCCCCAGAAGCAGAGGGACTAACAGAGGCAGCTCAGAGGCCCCTGGGGAATTCAGAAATCCCTGCTGAGTCTGGGCGGGGAGCCCTGGGAAGAAGAGCTCCATTCATTTGTGGCTTTCATCCATAGGTAGCGTGACCCCCATCTTGCCCCTGCCAGCCGGTCTTCGACAGTCAAGGAGCCAGAGCTCCTCGGTCCCAAGCGAGGGCCAGCAGGGAAGGCGCAGGCAGGGCTGTGTTTGCCGGGGGACTGAGGCTCTCTGCCTGGCCTCCGCCTTTCTCGCAGCCTCCACTGCAGAGGGGGCCCGGGGACATAAGGGGGGAAACCACTGTAAACTTACTACTCAGCCCTGCAATGGGGGGAAAGAGTGGAATGGGTTTGGCGGGCCTTGAGGACTTTTCTAGAAGCTGAAGATCATACAGGAGACCCGCCTTTTCCTACCTCCTCATGCACATCACAGGCAGAACCCATAACCCTCCAGGCACTGGGCCACCTCTGGCCTCCCCTACTTGGGAAAGTCCTCCCAGGAAAAGATGGCCCAGCCTGGGACCACTGGGCCATGCCAGGGGCCACCTAAACCCTGAGTCAGCCCCAGAATCGCCCTTCTTGAAAGGGGGAAGGTGCCATTTTACACAAGGGGCTGTATTTTCCAGACCCCCAAATACATGCATCCTGGCAAGGACAGCAGGAGGGTCATTTTAGAATTGAAGACAATCTGGGACATGTGGTCGCCGTACCCATAACCTAGGCTCGGGCACGGCACAGGCAGCTTTGGTTTGGATCAGCACTCAGACTTCTCTCCGACCTCAGCGGGGCTGAGAGGAGGGGACAAGCGAGGAGGCCCGGCCCCTGCCTGGCTGGGGGGTGCCAGTGCTCAGAGAGAAGATCCCAGGTGTAGTCATCCCCGGGGATGGCCAAGCCGCGTTCCTCCAGCCCCGCCCACAAATGGCAGAACATCCCACCACTGCCCTGGCCCCAGCGCCCCCAGAGTTACATTCATAGGTTAAGATTCGGTTTAGAAAAAAATTGATTTCAGCCCCCTCTCCCTAAGTCCCAGAGAGCTAAAACCCTGTCCAGCTGCCTGGTTTTGAGGAAGGGCCATCCCAGGCCACGCCCACTGGAGCATCCCTCTAGCCCTCCCCCCACACTAGAGCTGTGGCAACCTGTGATGATGGAAGCTACATTCACACAGGGAGAGTGGGTGTGCAAGGCCAAAGCCGCATGAGGTGGGGTGGGGGACCATGAGGGAAATGCCCCAGGCCTGGTCCACCCTGGTGGTGTGAAGGGCAGGGCCACAGCCCCCCACCCAAACCCCTGTGGGGCCAGGATTTGAAAGGCTTGGGCCCGGAAGACATTGCACGGCGCCTCCCTCCATGGCTGGGTGGGGGCAGCTTCCCGGTCCTGGGCTGAGACGTGGGTGCCAGGCTTGGAGGGAGGGGGCGTGGCACTTAGGCCCCTCCAGACCTGGAAGGGAGAGGGGGCACCGGGGAAGTATGTGAGGCAGGGCCCAAGGAAAACCCCACAAGCTGCGCCCCAGGAGGTCAGTGCTGGGCCCTGGAGGCAGCAAGTCACAGGCTGGCCAGGGAGGGGATCTGAAGGAAAGTCAGACAGCAGGGACATGAAAGACAAAACAAATGGGATGCGGAGGTAGGCTCCCTTCCGGGGACCTGGATGGGCAGGGCACCGCCCTGGGGTCCACCTGGCCCGGACTGGTCTGGCCATAGGAGGGGCAGGAGCCCACGGATCAGGGCCCGAGGGGATGGCTGGGCAAGAGGAAGAGGCAAGGGCAGGCTGAGGACTCTCCTCCGGCAGTGGGGCTCGCCCCGCTGTGGTGACATCAACGACAGCAGTGGGGGGGGGGGGGGGGACCAGCCCTTAGCTCCCATCAACAGAAGGCAGGTGACAAATGAGATGGAGACGGACAGTGGGAGGGATGATGTGGCAGGCATCACACTGCCCCCTGCTGGGTCGGGTCATACCTTCCTCGCCGGATGTTTCTTCAAGAGCCAAGGAGAGGACAGGCAGAGAGAGAAAGAAAAAGAAACCATCTGTGCTTGCCAGGGGTCCTCCGGCCTGGACACTAATGACAAGCCCAGAGAGAGGAACCCGGCTTTGAGTCTTGACTCTATAACTAACTCTCTGTGTGACCCTGGGCTTCGGGTCCCTGCTTGGCACACCGAGGGTTTTAGACCAGCTCCAGAGCCCTAGACTCGGGTGCCCAGAACACAGGCTGGGTGGGGCCTAGCGGGAGGGCACAGGCCCTGTCTTGGGCAGTCTGCTCAGCTCCCCTCTGCCTGGATCACACAGAAACACAGCTGGGCCCCGTTGTCTCATTTCACAAGAGGAGCTGGAAATCAGCATCGTTAATGTAAAACCTCTGGGTTTTTAAAGTGTGAGCAACTAATTATTTTAAATGTTAAAACTAGGCCTATGGCCGGCTTGGATCGTGATGTGCAAGCTCTCATTTAGCTAACCTCTCAGAGAGGCCCCTCAGCTCCAACAGCCTGGGGTTGTAGTAACCCCAGAACACCAGGGGGTAACGGGGGCGTGAGTGTCTCTTACTTAAATCCCCAGCCCGTGCCGCCCAGGACGATGGCTGCAACCAGGACAGCCCCGGCGATGGAGCCGATGATGATGTTGGTGCCACTGGGACCTGGGAAGGAGGGCAGGGAGTGGTTGGCAGGGGCAGGCATGGCAAAGGGAAAGAGACAGAGCCCCACCCGGACGGCACCAGCCTCACCCTTATATTTCTCCGTCTCCCCGGTAGGCGGAGATGTGGGCAGGGGGTTGTGGATACTGCAGTCTTTGCCTGTCCAGTCTGGCTGACAGATGCACTTCCCTTCGTTGCTGCAGACCTAGAGGTGAGGTGGGGCCAGTCAAAGTAAGCAGGGCTCTGTCCCCTCTTGTAAGCCCCTCCTGCCATCCCTGGCTTCCAGGCACCCACCCCATGGTGGGAGCAGATGCGGCGCTCCCCGCTGCCTGGGCAGGTGCTGAAGTTGAAGGCAGAGGCTGGCAGGCAGCGGTGATCCAGGCACAGCATGTTGGGCCCACAGGCCGTGCCATCCTCCACGTAGCTCAGGTCCGAGCCATCGGCCAACTGCACGTGGCCACCCCTGGGGAGACAGCACAGCCAGCCTCCACCCATGCCCCTTACCCCATGACAGCTGCAACCTCCCCTTCTCCGGCCATGGTCCCAGCCAACACCTGCAGTCCAGCTCCTTGCCCTGGTGGTAGAAGGTGACACTGCTGATGTCTCCTCCTAGGTCCCCCAGCCGAGGAGCTCCAGAGATGTTGACGCAGAGGAGGAAGCCACAGAGCACATCCCTGTTGGGGCAGTGTGGAGACAGTGGGCCCCACATCTGACCTCTGACCCAACGACTAAACTTGAATTTGTCCTTTCCCCACACTCATGATTTTTTACATATTCTCCCATCGGGACTCACGGGCACTTCCTAGAAGAACCTACTGCTCCATCTCTGAAAAAAAGAAAAAACCCAGGCCCCATCTCTGGAGAGGCTCAACCAGGAGCTTTGGCAACTCACTGTTTATTGCACTGGATCCAACCTGACCCCTTGCGCCCACAGTTCCCACGCTCTGTCCCCTCCACATTCAGCTTCTCGTAGCAGAAACGATCAGCAGCCACTGTAAGGAGATGATGTGAGTGAGGTGTCACCCCAGAACCCACCCCAGGACCTCAAGCCTGCACCCCCAACACTCCGGCTGACCCCAGTCCAGCTGGGTCCCCGAGAGCTTGGAGAGCCATATATTTGGTGGAGGGTATATTTAGCCAGAACCTGCTGCCTCCCCAGATTCTTGATTCTGGGTCCTCTGGAGTCCCTTCTCCCACTCCTAGCCAGACTCACCATGGCCCCAAAGGGCCTGGCACTGCCGGTCCCGGGTTTTGCAGCGACCTCCATAGCAGCGGCCCTAAAGGACAAACAGGAGACAAAAGGTCTGAGTGGTCACAGTGGAGACAACAAACTGTACTGAGCCAGAAGCTACAAGAGGGAGGAGCCCCCAGAACCATCGTACCTGTTCATGGTCACAGTAGTAACCGTCCAGCTTGTGTAGGTTAGGGGGGCACTGCAGAGAGAGGAGCTGGGCTGAGCAGAGCAACCCCAGGACTGAGAGGTGAGGCTGGCCCCAGGGAGGAAAGAAGGGGCAGGCTAATACTCCCCAAGGGGGCGCTAGCGTTCAGGGCTCTTCCACTTCAAGATCAAAAGACCTGCATTGGAACTCAGACCACACAGGTCAGCAAGTCCCATAGCCTCTCCCGTCTCCCTGTTCCATGCACCTACTTCCCAGGGCTGGGAAAATTGAATGCCTGGCACGTAAGAAGGACTTAAGAGATGTTAACTAATATTATCATCTATTCCTATTCCTAGCACGCACCAGGACCAGCCAGGTGCTGTGAACACCAACAAGACTACAAACATGATTGAAGGAGTAAAGCCAGAAGGCACAAACAACCCCTTTTCAGATGAAGTAACAGGTTAATCAGCGGCGGCGATGCCAGCAGAGGAGCTGAGGGGCGCGAAGAACAGTGGTCACCCGGCAGAGTCAAAACGATAGGGACAGGGGTTGCCCCGCCCGGGGTTCCGCAGGGCGGCCAGGCCGGGCGGACCTGGCTCGAGTCGCCGGTGCAGGTCTCCGCGATGTCGCACTCGTTCACGGCCTCTCGACAGGACACACCCCGCGGTTCGTACTGAGGAAGGGATGCGTTTCAGGGCTCAGGCACGGACCCAGCGCTCGCCAGCCTCCTCGGCTCCGCCCCCAATCCTGCTTACAGTTCCGCCCCTCAGCGCTTCCCGACAGGTGCCCCGCCTTCAACAGGGCCCCTCACGCCCCGCCCTTTTCCTCCCCATTGGCTCTTTCTTCGAGCCAAGCCCCGCCCCCCAATTTGCTCTGCCTCCAGCTACTCCTCCTCTCTAAATCCCGCCCCTTATCACACTGTCAGCAGCTGGGTTCCTGCTGGTCCCGCCTCCTCCCCGCTGCAGCGGTGGGTCCCCTTCACCTTGCAACGGCGACAGCAAAGCCCGTCGCTGCACATGGCGTCGTGAGTCAGGGTGCATTTCTTGCAACAGTTCCCGCCCGCTCGGCTGCACTCCTGAGGGACGTGGCGAGAAGGGGAGGGGGAGGTCGGCGAGACCGGATCCTCCTCGCCTAGACGCACCCTCTCACCCACTCCCGCGTCCCGGGCCTCGCATCTGGCACTGGTCACTCACCTGCACAGAGCCGCAGTCACACTCCTCCCCCGCCTCCACGAAGCCGTTTCCGCACTCAGGGGGGTCCAGTAGCTGGACAGGGAAGGAGTGTCGGGAGTCTGACCGGGTCCCTACCCAAGCCCCGTTCCCACGTTCCCTCGCCCTTGGGCTGGTACCTTGAGGGGCTTATTGAAGAGGCAGCTCCCGCCGCCCTCCTGCAGAAACTGATTGTACTCGTCGATGCTGCAGCGCGAGAACTTGCGAGGCAGGTAGAACCTGGGCAGGAATAAGGAGGCGATGCTCCAGGGTCCCAACCGCACCCTCTCCCCAGCCCACTCTCTAGGCCCCTTCTCAAGATTGGGGATAGGCTGCGCTGGGTGAGGATGACTCGCACACCCTATGGAGGAGGCTGAGGATCTATGTGTTCGGAGACTGCACAATAATCCTCACGCCTGCCCCTCAAGCGGGAGTGGGCAGGGGAGTTCTGCAACCTCGGGACTCCGCGAGGCAGAGGTTGGAGCGACTAGGAGCGAAGGTGCCTTCAAACGAGGCTTTGGCGGCGCCCAGTGGCGACAGTGCGCACTACAGTCTGGTCAGTGGAACCTGAGTTCCCCTGCGCAGCGCACTGCAGAAAACTGAGTTTCTTGGAATCCTGAGTGGTTCTGACAGCTAGACCTCTTGAGGCCACCAAGTCCAGACTGTCACCCAGTACTCGCTCTGGGACTCTCCTCACACAAGGCCTTCCCCTGGTTTGTCCCCCCACACTCACCCAGTGTCCTCCATGATGCAGCCCAGCCAGTTGTCCGGACACTTGCAGTCCCCTGAGAGGTGAGCCAGGTGTATGTAAGAGAGGGTGGATGACGGCCCCATCCCACAGACACCCTCTTCAGTCCTGGAGCTGCTGGGTGGGGGTCTAGGCTGGTGATGGGGCTACATGGGATCTTCGTTGATACCTGCTGAGCTCCGGTGTTTATTCCACATCATGCCCAGATTCTGCCCCAGGGTCTGGGCCAGAGTCACCGCCATGGCGCCCATGTTGTCGTACTTGGGGTGAGAAAGATGGGGCACAAAGATGTCTACACCCTTTCAAAAGGCACAGGGCTCATGCCCTTAGGAGCCCCTCTCCCTCCCGCCCCTCCCCAGCTGAGTCCCCACACCGCTCACCTCATTCACACCCCCACCCCTGGAGAGAGAGCAGATGCCTCCCACGTAGGCAGCCCCACTGCTGGTGCTTTGGAAAGTCCTGCCCCTGGGAGGGAGAGGGTTGTCAGGAGACCCTCCTTCCCTACCCAGAGAGGCCCCCTGGCTGTGAGGGAGAGCCCTTCTTTAGGGAGGGAGTAAGGAGCAGGCCCCTTCGTGTCAGCCTGTGCGATCGCAGGCAAGCCCCTTCCCCTTTTGGGATTTGTTTGCCCGTAAACCAGATAAGAGGTTCCCATTAGATCATCTCTAATTGCACGGGCCTATCATCAGATTTCTTCCCCTACCAGGAAGGGACGCCAGGACAGTGTGAAAGGGAAGAGGGAACGCAGGGAAGGCGACGGGCCGGAGGCGATGGCAAAGGTGGCCAGAGGTGGGGAAAAGGTGCATCAGCTTAGGGTGCAGGGGAGGGAGCCCAGCCTGTGGCACGTGCCTGGGGCAAGTACAAGATAAAACCGACCAGCCCCAAAACCCGCAAGAGCACCTGGCACAGAGCAGGTGTTCAATAACCCTGAACAATGCGGCCGCCAGCAGGGGCGGGCGGGACGCATGGGGTGGGGAACTCACGAGAAGAGGTGGGTGGCATCGCTGGGCTCAGGCAGGCCCTCCCGCCTATAGACCATGAGCCGGGCCAGGGTCTCCAGGAGGTCATCCTGCACCTGGATCTTGTCCCCATCTGCCCATGTTTCCATGGCAACCAGCACTATCCGGGTATTGAGCTGCTCCTTGTACATCTGAGCCCAGACGGGAGAAGGTGGGGAGAAGGCTGGAGGGTGGGCGTGGGTGTGGGGGGATAGGGCTGGAGAAGGGTTCCAGTTTGTGCCTCCAGGAAGTGGGGGGGTCACTGGCGGACAAAGCCCTGAAGGGCTCACCCCAAGGATGTATGCGGCCGGGTGGGGAGTTTCGGGTGATAAGGGAGTGGGAGGGGGAGGGTTGCTCACCACATCTGCCAGGTTCACCACAGACTTGGCAAAGTTGCTGGTGAGGACCACTGACTGTCGCATCTGCTCGAACTGGAGAAAGAGTGGGTGGAGGGCGAGGCTGCCTCCGGCCCCTCCTCCCCGAGTTGCCCTCAGCCGGGAACTTACCAGCTGGTGGTCGTTGATCACGATCAGCTCCACATACTTCGTCTCGCTGTGCACTGTGGGGTGTCCCCGGCGGACCTGGCAGGGGGTGGGCACTTGGAATCAGTCCCCTCCATGCCTCGCGTCATGGCCAAGCCATGGACAGATTTAGGGGGCCGGACTCCAGCCAGGAACAATGCCAGACCCCCACTGGTGGGGACAGCCCTCCCCATCCTTGGTGTAAGGGAAGGCAGCCCCTGTTAGCCCACCACGGGGACGTGTGTAGACGCTGGCACTAGAGAGTGGGGTGGCGGGGCTTCCTCCCAGAGACGGTTCCCTGGCCCCCGCCACATCGGTCCGAGCTCCCCTGTGCCCCAGCCATGGACAGGGGCGTCCTCTTGCTCTGGACCACAGCCTGAGGTCTCTGCAGCCCGAGGTCTGTGCGGGCCCCGTACCTGCCTTTTCCTTCTCAGCCTCGGCCGGTTCGGAGGAGCAGAACGGGCAGGGGCAGCGAACAGGCAGTCTGGAGGAAGGGACAGGTGAGGGGAGGCACAGCCAGTCCCCTCCCCAGCCCCACTTTTCCTCCTTTACCTGGTTCCCTGCATCTGGTGGGGGCTGGGAGGAGAGAGGTCCGGTAAATGAGGTGGGGAAGGGGCCCCTGCAATGGGGAAAAATTAGTTCCTGTAAGGCTCACAGGCCTGCCCGGGGCCCAGCTGGGAGGGTGCGGGGTGGGAGGAGACAGCTCCACTGTTCCCCTTCCCCACCTCAGAGTGACCCAGAACTGGCCAGGGCTCCCGTATCAGATCTGATCTCCCAGATGCTCAGATTCCAGGGTCAAGACCTGAGGGCGCCCCTTGAGAAGGGGGCGCAAAGGACACTGGAGCCCAATGGCAGGTTACCTGGGGGACATCGGAGCTAGGGGCACAGCGAGAGGGAACCAGAGCTGGGGTCACGGAGGGCAGGGAGGCTGAGGTTACCAAGGCAGGAGGAGGAGGGGGCAGTGCCAGGGAAGAACCAGGCGGGGCTGTCGGAGGGCACAGCGAAGGCTCACCTGGGGGGCTTCCCGAGGCCCGGCCATCTCCCGGGGTTCCACGATGTAGGTGAAGTTCCCATCAGAGAAGACCCCGCTGCAGAGAGAGACACGCAGCTCCCCACTGTCCCCAGGCCCAGGGTCGGAGGCTTTTACAGGCTGCCCTGCCCCGCCCCATACTCACTGCAGCCCCTGGCAGGTGGAGAGAGCGGCGAAGGAGTACGGGTTCCCTCGGAGCTTGCCCTGGTAGTAGCAGTGGTCTCCAGCCCCCTGGAGGAGCAGAATAGAAGTGGGCATGCGCCCTGCGCTGGCGTGAAGGCAGGGAGACAGATGAGGGCCGCCGGCTGTGCTGGTGCGCAGGCGGCTGCCGTCCTGGGCGCGCCTGGGATCTATAGCCAGGCTCTGCTCTGGGCTGGGCCCCTAACTGCTGTTTCACCCTGGGCGGGGGTGGTTTCCTAGCCCTCTTCGGGCCCCCCTGCACCTTGCCTACAAGGTGAGGCAGTTGGACTACAGCAGTGGGTCTTAGCCGTTTGTTGGGGCTGATGCAGGGACCCCAGGCTCCTTTGAGAATAACTAGCATCCATACAGCACCGACTATGTGCCTCGCACTGTTCTAAGCACTTACCATGGACAGTCTCAATTAGATGAATGTTATACACTCACCCCAACACACACACACAATTTCACACCCAGTGTGTTCACAGACACCACTGCCTCAGCGGGCCGCCCCCGGACACGTGGTCTGTGCCTGGGGAACGGCGAGCAGCATGTGTCCTCCTGGTCCCGGCTCCTGGGTCTGAGGGGACCAGCAACCCCTCCCCGCTGCTTCCTGCAGAATTACTTGTGCTCCAGTTACTGAAAGTGTGGGGGAGGGGAGAGGCTATTTATAGACACTCATTCATCTTTGCGGAGCCCCTGGGCCTCTCGGACCCTGTCTTCCCAAGTGGCCAGGAATTCCCAGGCACTTGGTGCTGAGTAAGAGGACATTCCCCCACCTGCCCCCTTCCAGAATGTCTGGGCCTGGAGCAGGGACAGTGCTTGGCTGCCTCCATGCCGGGCAGGGCGGCTTCCTGGGGTCACGCGTCAGGAGCTGGGCAAGGGGAGCTCAGGGCTCCGCACTCCCTTTGACATGCCACCGCAACTCCGACCCTCAAGACCTCCAAGCGGGGGAGAGATGGGGGGTTCTCAGGGTCTGGGCCCATCCCAAGTGTAAAGAACACCCCAGGCCCCACCTCCAGGGGCCTCCTGTCTCTTCATTCCACCTCCCTGTCCCCTTCCAAAGGTACTCACAGTGCTATGCTGGGTTGTGCCCTCCCGGCTGAAATGGCGCTCCACGTATTTAGAGGAGAGGAGGTGACTGGAACAGAGTGGACGGGAGGAAGGACGGGGCACTCGTGCGACTGGGTCAAGGTTGGGTCCCACCCCGGCCCAGTCTCCCCCCCAGCCCCCGCCCCGCTTCCCAGAAGCCACGTCCAGGCGTGCCTTGCCCCCCCATCCGCAGCTCTTCCTCCCAGGCTCAAGGCCGCACTCACTGGTTCAGCTCCAGGTCCAGAGTGAAGTTGGAGTTGAAGGCTGGGATGACGAAACTCACCTGGGCCAGGTGCACAGGCTGGGGGTGGGGAGAGGGCAGAGGGAGGGTCACCCTGGGGAGGCCTGAAGGTGGGACTTGGGGAAGTCCCAGAACAGAGTAGCCGCAGGGAAGGGAGGGAGGGCCCAGTCCAGCAGCTGCAAGGATCATTGGTTCGGGGGAAGGATGCTTTGCGCAAGGCCTTGTTCCTTTCCTGGGGGTAGCGGCAGGGCGCACACACCGGGGCACCACCCACTCTGCCCTCCGGGTAAGGGCACGTGAGCAGCATAGGGGGCAGATGCTAGCCCGGCCTCCCAGGGGCAGCGTCTGGGAGCAGCCGGGACGGAGAGGGACAGCTTGGCCTGCCCACTGCCTGAGGCCAGGCCCTCGCTGCTGTGGACAGGGCCACCCCACCCTCAGGCAGACTAAAGGGGGACCCTGAGAAGCATTATGGGACAGGGTGAACAGGAGCTGGGGTACAGTATGACCCTGGGGACCTGCTGAAGCAGCTGCCTTCCTTCCCCCAGCCTCAATGCAAGGAGGAGACCTCAGGCTCGCAGACAGGGGTGGAGTGGGTTGCGATATTGGAGGGTGCCTGGAAGCTGGGGTGATGGGCAGATGCCATCCTTCTCAGGACGGAAGCGCTTGGCTCCTCTACCCCCAAATCCATTGCCCTCTACCTCGCCCAAAGTAGCTCATCTTTAATATTTCAATCCCATGGTTAATTTTTAAACACGGAAGTTTTCCTGATAAATTTTTCAGAGGGGCCTTTGCAGTGGGGCTGGGAGGCTCCAGGTTGTCATGACAACGCACCAGGCTGAGCAAGATGGCTGCCCTCCATGGCCTGGGCACCCAGTTGCTGTGGGGGTGGGGACTCCAGACCTGAAGCTAGTGCACCTCCAGGGAAAGCCACCCCAAGAGAAGAAGGGACAGGAGAGTCTGGGTAGAAGGGGTGTTGTCCTCCTCGGCCCCCATGTCCCCACCCAAGCCTCAGGTCCTACAAAAGATCGGGAAGTATGGGAGAGGCGTTGGGGACACTGGAGGCTTCTTCCCACCTCTGTCCACTCAAGAAGACTGAAGCCAGGCCCCCGGATGAGGGTCCCGCCACCATGCCATGCAGCTGCGAGAAATTTTTTGCCTTTCTCTTGGGGGCAGCAGGTTGCAGAATGGAAGGGAGACCCGATATCATGAAATCCCACAGTCCTGTGCTAGTTGGCCTCCTCATCAACCACGCAGATTTCCACTGAGCGGTTATTAGGTACCTGGCACTATTCTCAATGTTTTGCAAGTATTATCATATGTGATCTTCACAATAACCCAACGGAGTAGATGCTACTGTTACCCTTATCTGACAGATGGGAAATTGAGGCACAGAGCTGCTAACTTGCCCAAGGTCACACATCTAAGAAGTGGTAGAGCTGGGATTCGATTCAAGCAAATCAGCTTCCAGGGCCTAAGGTGAGGTAAGAGAGAAAATGGCCAAGTGTCCATGCAAGGCCTTGGGACGGGGGGTGAGGTGGGGGCAAAGGGCCAGCGCCCAGGTGTGCAGCCCTCTGCGCCTCAAGGACACTGACTCACCCCATCCCAGGCTGACTGAAGTTCCAAGCTCCGTCCTGAGCCCCTAGAGCATTGATCAGACTTGAAATAGAAAGTCAAGGACAAGTCACTGCTTCCCTCTCCTCCCCACTGGCCGGGCCATCCTGGTCTCCCTCGGCTCTCGGGGTTTGCACTCTCTGCGGTCCCCTGCTCTCGGGTCTGATTCTGCTTGTTCCTTCTGCCCCCCACCCCCGGTGACAAGCCCTGTCCCCACCCCCACACTGGCCAGCAGCCTGTCCAGGCTTCTTGCCCTGATGTCACACTCTCTGGCCGTGCAGCCTCAGGGATGATCCAGCAACCTCTCTGAGCCTCAGACTGTCCCAGAGAACAGGAGACGCTAAGCCCAGATGCAAGGCTGCGAGGCTGGCTGGGGCGGTGGAGGTCATCCTGGGCCTGGAGAACCTGGGCAGAGGTGGCCCTGGCACCGGCAGAATCTTCTCCACCCAGGAAGTGGGCGAGCTGACCCACCCGGCCTCTCCCCTCTCTGTGCAGAGCAAGCCAACCCCACTCTGAGGAAAGCCTAGACTGATGGGGAGTAAACACCAGGTCCTCTCTGGCCCCAACACTCCCTGCCCCCACCAGAGGCAGTGGGAGGAAGAGGAGGGAGACCGAATAGCTGGGCAGGTGTGTCTGGCCCACCCGAGCAGGGGGTGGGGAGACACAGCGGGGGATTCCCTGCCTGAAGGATGAGAAAGGCCAGGCGAACCCACCTCGGTTCCCAGGGTCTCTATACACGAGGTGCCTGGCCGGGGGCTCCTGCTGGCCTTGGGGCCCTAAGGCTCGCCAGCCAAGCCTCAGGCCCCTGTTTCATCAGAGCCAAACTGCTCCTGCCCCTGACCTGCCCCTGACTTCCCCCACTCCCTCTCAGCCCTTCCCTTGGGAGCCTCTCCCATCCCTGGTCATCCGCCCTCCTCTGGACCCAGCTGAGCGCAGCTGGTGACCAGCCAGCTGGGCCTCAACCCCGTGGCCCTGCTCTCGCCTCTTGCCCTCTTGTTCCCAGCCATCCAGCATTCATGTGCCCCGGCTCACTTGATCTCAACCTGCCCAGGACGTCTGGTGCTCATTTTACAAATGCCAGGCCGAGGCGCAGGGAGAGACACTTGGAGGTGACCGGCCCGGGGCCACGCTGGGGAGGTGCAGGGTCAAGGCTCACTCTCGGGCTGGGGTTTGTGTCTACCGCGGCAGCTGCGGCACCTGGCTGGAGTGACCATGCCCTCCCCAAGCCTTCCCTGTCGCCAACTCGTCCATCCCCCAGGCACCTGCTTGTGCCCCGTGTCACACCTGACCAGGTACAGCGTGTAGAGCAGGGCCGCCCAACCTTTTGGCGTCTCTGGGCCACACTGGGGGAAGAAGAGTTGTCTTGGGCCGCACATTAAATACACAAACCCTAACAGAAACTGACGAGCAAAAAAAAAAAAAAAAGGTGTTAAGTCCATTTACGATTTTGTGTTGGGCCGCATTTGTAGCCACCCTGGGCCACGGGTTGGACACCCCTGGAAGGAGGCAAAGATCCCGCTGAAGGTCCAAAATAACAAACACAGGGGCCAGGCCTCCACCCTGGACCAACAGAATCAGTCTTGGGAAGGAAGAGACAAAAGATGCTAAACACCCTAAACAATCTCAACATCCAGGCACTGTCCCCAGATAAACACCCTGAGTCTCTCCTCCCGAACCTCCGCCTCCTGCCATGGCCTCCTCCTCCCCACCCCCTTCTGCAGAGCCTGCACCCACCGACCCCCAGGGGCAGCGGCCCCCTCTACCCCTGCGCCGTGAGGCAGCTCTGCACATCCTGCCTCTGCTTTTCACACGGGCCACTGGGCCACGTCAGTCCCCGGGAGCGCAGGCTCCTCGTCTTTTCCCTGCTGGGGCTCCACGCTCGCGTTGAGTGGAGAGGCATCAGAAGGCCTGAGTGAGCTGCTTCATCTCTCCGAGCCTCCGTTTCCCCATCAGTGAAATAGGGTGGTTGTGAGGATGAAATGAAAACTCTTTTTAAATGTGTTATTATCACAAGGATTAGTGACAAGAATCAATGAAAAGAAAAAAGTGTAGAAGGTCCAGCTGAACAGAGCTTTGAGGAACTGGACAAACTGCATGAGCTGGGTGGTGGCAGAAGGGGAGGGGCCAGAGAAGCAGGGGTCCCACCTGGGAGAAACCCCTCACCCAGCAGCTGCCCCCCAAGATGCAGCGCGCCTGCACTTATCCCCTGGGCCGCGGGCGTCCCAGGCAGAAGAACTGGGTGAATTTCTTTTTTCTCTTTCTTTGCTGTCATTTTTTAATTTAATTTAATTTAATTTAATTGTTTTTGGATTGATTTTAGAGAGAGAAAGATGGAGAGAGCGCGAGGGAGAGACACTGATTTGCTGTTGCGCGAATTTACGCATTTATCGTTGATGCGGTATGTGCCCTGCCTGACTTGTGGATCGAACCCGTAACCTTGTTGTATCAGGACAACGCTCTGAACACCTGAGCTACCTGGCCAGGGCCTTGGATGAATTTCTGATAACTGGATTTGACCTACATTTTTGAGGACAGTCACTTTTTTTACAGGGTCACTAGTCCTTCTGAAAACAGACTCTGGGCAGCTGGGCCCCTCCAGGCTGCCAGCAGGGCCCTTGTGGAGGTCAAGGCCACAGGCTGGAGTCTGGCTGGAGGAGCAAGTCTCCTGCCCACGTTGTCACCCTGAACTCCACCCAGAGCCTGACAGGCAACCCCCAAAAGTCCTGGCTCCTGTTTCAGGCACCCGGCCCTCATGCCGGCGCCGAGCCGCATCCATCAGGAGGGAGCGCGGGCACTGAACACCTGCCCCTGCCAGATCCCAGGTAGGACGCCTGCATAGCCCTTGTCTCCCCTGATCCTCACAGCAGCCGCGGCTGGAGTGATGACTGTTATCTCCATTTTATGGGTGGGAAGGTGGGGTTCAGGGGCATCAAAGGCTCACCCAGGCCACTCACTCAGAAGCGGCGGAGCTGGGGCCCACTGAGGCTGTCCCACCCAAAGCCACATGCGCGGCCTTTCAGACAGAAGGAGTTTAGCCTCCTGTGTGAACCTGTCTCTGCGCAGCCTCACGGCAGGGCTCAGCTCACAGCCCGCGCCGGGCAAGCCGAGCCCAGCACAAACCCCAGCCCTGGCTCCCAGCCATCGGCCCCAGGACACCCTCCCACCTCCAATCTCAGGACAGCTCTGCGACCTTTGCTGCAGAGACCACGCGTGGCCTTGGCCCTGTTGGGGCACCAGGACTCCCGGCAAAGACCCTGTGGTTCCCTGCCCCTGACTGCCATCCTGCAATGGTTGGGGACTCGGTCTTGCCCAGTTGTCCCCCACCCCTCTGCAGGAAGAAGACACAAATGCTGTAGCACATGTCTTCAACGGAGGGCTTCCAGGGTGGCATTTCCAGTAAATGCTGGTCTGGGTGGTTCTCCCAGGAGCTCAGCCCAGCGACTGAGGTCCCCTCTCCTAGCTTGCTCAGGGGAGGGCCTGCCCCCCGGGCCTGGGACCCCACACACAAGCTGCCCTATTCTCTCACCCACACCTGCCCTCTCCTCGGTTCTGAAGGAGCCTGGGTTTCCCAGCAGCAGGTGCAGCCCACGTAGCAGCTTCATGTGGATTGGAAAAAGGGCCCCCTCAGAATGCCCGCAGCCCCACGAGCTCACAGATTTGATTCGCCCCACTTGCCCGGGGCGCCCCTGTATCCTGGACAACCAGCCTCTGGCGCACCGCGGCCCTGCTTGTCCTCCCGCCTCAGCCCGCAGTGCAGGCTCCCTGCGGCCGCGGGCTCCTGCGCTTCCAGGAGCTCCCACATCTCTGGGCTGCAGGCCCCCCCGTCCCCGCTTCCATACTGGACAGGAGTGAGGTGCTGAGAGCCATGGCAGAGAGGACAAAGGGCCCCTGTGCCCCTCTTCCCTTTACCCCTGAGCGAGAGGCAGACAGTGCGCTGGTTACAAGCGCCGCCCCAGGTATTACTGGTCTTGACTCTGGTACTTCAATGCTGTGCGGCCTGGGGCAGTTACTTCTCTTCTCTGGGCCCGTTTCGCCGCGTGCAACACGGGAATGGTAATAGCCCCACCCCCTGGAGCTGTGATGAGAATGAAGTTCACACACGTGAAGGCAGAAGACCGCCTGCACAGGCGGGTCCCCCCCTCCCCATACACTGCAATCTCTCTAGCGTCTGACTCCTTCCGGCCACCTTCCCTCTCGGCCCCCCTCACAAAAGCCAGGAGTCCTCACACACCAAGCCCTCCCCTGTCACCACCTCCTGGCCGAGGGTGAGCTGAGATGATTATCATCATCCTGGTTTTAGGATGGGCTCAGGAAGGCGCCACGACCAGCCCAAGGCCAGAGCAGGTTAACACCCCCAGGCCCCACCACCCCCGCCCCGCCAGGCAGCCTGTGCCCCCTGACTTGCCGTGTGACCCACAGCAGATGGAGATCTCGCTGCTGACCCATCACTTCGCTTGGCCTGAGGTCCTAAATCAGAGCAATAACTTCAGCAAAGCCCAGCAGCCCCAAGGTGGGGCATTCCCTGCTGGGACACTAGGGCTCAGCATCAGCCCCGAGGCCCTGAGGCCAGAGCGCTGCAGGGAGGGAGGCCCAGCGGGAGGTGCGGGCCGCAGCGGCTCCTTCCGGTGGGGGCGAATATTCTGGACGTGGCTTCTGTCTCCCTTGGCCTTCCGTCCTGCACCGGCGGAGGTTGGGGACCTCCCCCCGTGCCAAAATCCAGAGCCCCTGGAGGCAAGAGGAAGTACCTTGTCTTGGAAAAAAATCATTCCACTGCTTAAGATCTGATTGGACTTTGAGCAAGTTACTGAACTTCTCTGAGCCACAGCTGGCTCATCTGCAACATGGGCAGACAAAAGTTGTGTGCCTTACAGAGCTGTGAGAATTCTGCCCGAGGGGAAACTGAGGCACAGATGAGGCACAGCCTGTGAGTGAGTTCCCTGGGAGGCTGCAGCGGAGTAACTGGGAAGACTCAGTCCCAGAGAACCCCCGCCCCCGCCAGGCACTGGAGGTGACCCCGGCCTCGCAGGCCCACAGAACCCCCGCCCCGCCCCCTCAGGCACTCCCTTGGGCAAATTCAGGCTCGGTTACCACCATACATCACACGGGGACATATGCCCCCCGCCCACCCAGCAGAATGACACCCAAAGAGGCTCCCCGTGTAGAGGACTTGACCCACCCAGTCCAACTGCACCCGCCCAGCTGTCACCACACTGTCACAGGCCCCGCTACACCCCCAGCAGCCCCCCTTTCGGGCGGACTACGCTGAAGGAGTACCCACTCTTCCTCCCTGCCTGGCCCTACACTCCCCCTTCCCTCTGTCCTCTGATCCCACCAGCAGCATCAGTCCAGCCTCTTGTCTGGAGCCCCCCGAAGCACCAGACGGGGGGTCCTCGCAGCCAGGCCCTGTGCTCAGCTCCCAGCCAACACAGCCTGAGGGTGCCCAGTTCACAGGTCAGGGGACACTAGGGAAGAGTCGGACTAATGGCCACACCCAGCCAGGACACCTCATGCCTGGCCCTGGCACTGTCCCTGCTGCCCATCTCCCCGTCCCAGGGAGCCTGGGCAGGTGCTGAGGGCCGCCTCCGCCCCTTTCCCTCCCACCCCCGACTCCACACCGCCCAGACCTGCCTGCCTGCTCAGGACCATTAGCCACCCCCTCCCCCTCTGCACTGCCCTGAGAGACGGTCCATCTATTATGCATGCTGCCTTCCTGCTCCATTCCATTTCCCGAGTCCCCCTCCGCACCCCCACAGCCCCCCCCTCTCGAAGGGCTTTTAACCAAGTACATTAGGCAGGCCAGTTGCCAGTCTGACAGATGTCCACAGTGTTAGCCTCCGTTTCCCTCCTTCCTTCCTCTGCCCAGCCGATGCCTCCCACCACTCCCAGAGCTCAGCGGCCCAAACTTCCGAGCCCCCTCTGAGCCTCCTGTACACCTCCTGCCTATTCCTGCCAGGCCCTCAGCACCCCGCCCTCCTCCGCCCCCGCTGGCCTGGCCAACTTTCAACTTCGAGCTCCTGGAGAGCTGAGGCGTGCTGAATGAATATTCCATCTGGGTGATTATTATTCACATGATATTAATTAATTATTAATTGCAATTAATCTCCTTCATTCCCAACCTTCCTCTGGGAGGCAGGAGGAGCCTGGCAACTGAAAGGGACAGGGGGTGGTAGCATTTGTGGGTGCACTTGGGGCCTGGGACCTTTTTTCAAGGCTCCATCCTCAGCGAGGACAGGAAGGAGCACAAGAAGTCTATCAGTGCCGGGGGAAACTGAGGCAGGAGCAAGCACGAAGCTGTTCCAGAAAGGCCCACTAAGTGTGGCTATAGCAAGAACCCAGGAACCCTCATCCCTGACTGGGGTCTCGGCGGCTCCTCCCTGCCCTTATTGCCCTACCCAAGCCCTGTTTGGAGCAAAACCACTTGCTTTGGCAGGAGAGGAGTGGGGGCTGGCAGGAGGCAGGCCGAGGCTGGGCTGAGCCTTGGGCATTTCTGTCCGCTGAGGGCAGGGGATCCCCCGATGATGGAGAGGGCCTGGAGCAGGGCAGGTGGGTGCTCCCATGAGTGGGCTCCAGCATCCACTTGGCAGCCCAGTGTACAAAAGAAGCATCAGGAGCCAGCTGCCTGGGAGGCGCCCCAACCCTGGCTGCCCCTGGCCTCCCATGGGCCCGAAGGCCTGCTCCGGCCCCCTGGTCTCCCCTCTCGGCACCACTCACCGGGCCGCGGGGTGGCTCCTGGCGGACCCTGGTGTCCAGCTGCTGCTTTCGGACCTCTCCCCCGGAGCTCTCCCCAACCAGACGGCTGGGCTCTGTGACCTCAGCAGCTTCTGGGCCCCACAACTGGGGTGAGACCCTCCAACGCAGAGCTCCAGCAGAACCCCGGGTCCCAAGACCTGGGGAGGCAAGGCCAGAGCTGTAGGCAGACGCCCACCGTGGGGCAAGAGACTTGGGAATGGGATGGGCACTCCCACCCCCCACTCTGGCGAGGCTCCTGGAGCCCTGGGGGCTTTGAGGGAGAAGACATGGTGCCCTGCAGGGGGAAGAGTCCGATGGGATGGGGAGGGGGCCAGGAGCTTGCTTCACTCCTGCCCAACTGTCACGACTGCCCCCCCCCCCCCCCCCCGAAACCGCAGAGACCTGCAGAGTCCGCCGGCCAGCGGCAGAGGGATGGCCGAGGAGCGGCGGGCCAGATGGGGACAGGTGGGTGTCCGCACCCTCCCTCCGCCCCCGCCCCCACCCTCCTGCACCCCAGACCGGCTATCACCCCCGAGCACTGCAGGAAAAGGTGGCTGCAGCAGAAACCGCCGCAAAACCCCGGGGCGGGGGCAGGGAAGGGGCGCCGGGCGGGCGGCGGTCACTCACCGGGCGCGGGGAGCAGCGGCAGCAGCAGCAGCAGCGCCGCGACCGCCCAGCGCCGCAGCCGCCTCATGGCTCGTTCATAATCCTCCGGGTCCGGGGGCTGCGGCTGAGCGGCTCGGCGCGGGCGGAGGCGGGACGCGGGCGGGGGCGCGGGCTGCGGAGCCGCGGGCGGGGGCGCCGGCCCGGCGGCGCGGGGCGAGGCTGGCGGCGGCGGCGGCGGCGGCGGCGGGGAGGGCGCCCGGCTCAGCGCGCTCCGGCCGCGGCCATCCCGGCGGGGCGACGGGCCGGGTTAAGAGCGGAGCGGCGAGCACGTGAGCCGAGGGCCCGCCCCCGCCCCCCGGGCCTCCCCAGCTCAGCCGGGCCCGGGCCGCCGCGACGGGAGGACAAAAGAGGCACCGCCCCGGGGCCGGCCTTCTCGCACCACCTCGGCCTCCCTCGGCAGGTGCAGGGCCGGTCGCGCCCGATCCCCATCTCGCGACCCCCTCCTCGGTCACCCTGTGCTCTGAGGTCCCGCAGAGTTGTAGGCGGAGGGAGGCAGGGTACACGGGGACCCCTAAGCTCTGACCTGGTACCTGCCAGTCTGGGGACCCGCGGGATCGAGATGCGGGGGCGTGGCTGCCCCCGGACCAGGTTCGTCCCTAGGGCGTCGTACCCCGGAGGGGGCTTCCCCGGACACGGGCCGGAAAAGCCCGAAATACCCGGTAAGGCTCTCGGAGCCGGAAAGGACAGGCACCGAACTGAAGGGCAGAGGCTCATGTGGCTAAAGTCCCGCCGGACGCCTGTGGGATCGCTGGACCTCCTCGCAGAGTGGGGCCTGTAGAGCCCTCCCACGCCCCGGTCCAGGCCCCTTTCCTGCCACAGACGCCACCGCCTCCAGAGGAGGGCTTCGGGACCTGCCGGCACCGAGCCCGCGGGTCGGCGTGGCCTCCCCTCTCTGGGCTCCCCGGTCCCGCACAGGGCATTGCAACCCTCCCCTCAGCACCATGGTAACTAGCCAGGTCGTTGACATGCGGTCACCATGCCCCGTTTCTGCCCCTCCCTTGTCAGCCCAGGCCTTTGAGGAGCAGAAGATACCTGTGGAGGCCCCTAGATTTTCCTCCCTGGACAGACCAGGTTGCCCTGCCTGCAAACCACTTGCCCTCCCAACCTGCCCCTGGAGCTGCCTCCGCACCTGCAGCCCAGCTACTGGGACCCTGGGCAACACAGGTGCCCAGAGTAAGGGCTTGGATCTCTGACCTCTGCTAGGGATCCCAGGATCCAGTGACCTGAGATGCGGTGGAGGGGTGGCAGAGTGTGGGCACCACTGGTGAGGTGCCCCCCGCCCCCTCAACCTTGTGCCCAAAGCCAGAGACTCCTTGAACCCACCCTGGGAGACACAGGTCACTGAGGAACAGGAATGGAAGGAGGGAACCCCTTCCTGGGTCCTCTGCCCTGGGGACCCAGCTCAGGGCCTCCACCAGCAACTGAGGAGCTGCTTCTGGCTGGTGACAGCATCCCGCCACCCCCCCCCCCCGCTCTATTTTAGATCCAGGAGAGGCGAGAAGGCGATTTCCCAGGAGGCACTCACATCAATGCGGGGAGCCGTGACTTCCCCCTTCCAACCACCTGCCACTTCAGACCCAGATGCCCACTGTTCCTTCACTCTGGAAACTTTTTGGAAGCCTCTGAGGGGTAAGGGGGTTCCCAGGGATGAGGACCTACTATGTGACATTCCCTGGTAATCCACAATCACTCAGAAGGCAGAGATTGCGCTTCTTATTTTACAGGTGGGGAAACTGAGGCTCAGGGAAGCTGCTCTAGTTCCCAAGGTCACATAGCCAGCTGGTCAGTGAGAGCATATCCCATACTCCAGGGTACCCCTGCCCTCTGGCTGCCCCTGTCCCCCACCCCTGCCTATTATCTTGGACCTGGAGACCAATCCATCGATCCCACTCCCCCTCCCCACACTCACACCTCCAGAGCAGGTGTCTTGCCCTTCCTGTGCCGTGTTCCAGGGCCAAGTCACTGAGCCCCGATCCCAAAAAGATAGGTGGGTTGTCATTTCACAATGGAGGGCCCTGGGCCTGGGAGAGTCTAGGTCTCCTCCTCTAACATGCCAGAGACTGCACAACAATCCCACTCTGTGGCCTGGGCCTCCGAGGCTGAGGCACATTCCTACCACTTGTGTGGCCTGGTTCCTTGGGCTTCTTGTTGGGGAGACCTTCTTGGACGCACTCTGGGCCAGCCCCAGGGGAGGCTCGATCTTTCGGCCCTTGGCCCCCGAGAGTTCCTTGTCTTCCTGGGCTCCCCAGCTCTAAGCAGTTCCCGCTGGGCGTCTTGGCCCTCCCCTGACCACACCCCACTCCGCAGCCCCCTCCCCATCTTGTCTTCCATGTCGCCCCCATTACAAGCTGCGTCTCCCAAGCTGGGAGCCTAATCCCTTCACCCCCCTTCACTCCTGAGGTTGGGGCTACGGAGACAGCCTCTCCTCAAACCAGGGGACCCTGGGGGAATCCCAGCCCAACCCCACTGTGACGGTGGGCTCCTTTGGCCCCTCTGCCCCACTGCTTGTTTCCCCCAAGAGGAAGCCTGTGAACTCTAAAACTTAGAGGCTGGTGGCCCCTGTTTCTGTCTTGATGTCACCTGTGCGGTCACTCCTGCTGAGCAGCCGTTAGGCTCTGGTCGCCAGTCCCCCCTCAGGACCTCCCACCACTAGGAGCTCTGGGGCCTCCTGTCCCTGCAGTTCTTCCTGCCCTTCGGTCAGTTCTTCCCTCCAGTTTCCTGAGCCAGGTCAGGTGGATGTAGAACCAAGATGTCCCCGCAGCTGCAGGTGGGGACAGGGCGTCAGCTGCCCAGCTGGGCAGAGTGACGGGGCGTGGTCCCTGCTCGCAGCGGGCATTCAGGCCCTGCACGCAGCCTGGCAGAGGCTGTGTCAGGAGTGGGGTGGCGGGAGGGGGGAGCATGGAGGGTAAGAGCAGGACTCGGGTCTCCAGGCGGCCAGTGGGGTCCCCATCCTGGTTACTGGCTGTGTGGCCTTGAGCAAGTCCTTCAACCTCTGTGTTCTCACCTGTGAAAAGGGGGTGAGAAAAGCCCCCCTCACAGTGCTGTTGGGGGATAAATGGGCAGGTCAGCCTCGAGGGCTCAGCGCAGTGCCTGGTGCACAGTAGGGGCTTGCGCCGTCCACATTGAGGTGCCAAGGAGAAAGTCTAGGACCCAAGGGACTCCTTTAAGGCTCGGAGACCGAGGGCCCTCTCCATCAGAGCAGGGAGAGACGTGAGGTCGATGGGGAGGGAGCGGTGAACACGCCTGCGGCCTCCTGCTCTCACCTGGAGCCCAGCCTGGCGTCTGCTCTTTCCACCAGCAGAGAACCACTCCTGCCTTCCGAATAGCCCTCCTAGGGGAGCCTCGTGTTCCTCCTGGTTTTGGAGCGGCCCCTGCTTTAGTCTCTGAAGCTCCGAGGCCTTGCCTCAGGGAGCCGGAGGCATCAGGGTGCCAGAATCCTGCGCGCCCCGTGGGGGTTCATAGTGCACAAATGTTGTCATGCCCCCGAGGGCCCAACACGCTCCGGGGGTGCAGCGCCCACTGCACTGCCCCTTCTCTCCCATGTGAGGGACCTCGCTAGAGTTCTGGGAAACCAGCTGTCAGTAAGTGGGGGCTCAGGGATGAGGTGACTCATAAGCCCCTTAAAAGCTTCCCCTGCAAATTCACACTGGAGATGGGCATGCAAGTCAGAGAGCCGCCGAGGTGGGAGTCGGGAAAACGAGCTCCGTTGGCCTGTCAGGGAGGGAGGCCCCACGGGTATGTGCGTGCAGGGGTTGGGGGGTGGCAGTAGCGGTGTAAGTTAGCTTATTGGTGGTCTACAATGTAACAAGCCCTGTGCCCAGTGCCTCAAACATCTGATTTAATTCTTGTGACTTCCTAGTGAGGTGACAACTACTATCGCCTCCATTTTCCAGATGAAGAAAACTGAGTTTCAGGAGTTTGCCAAAGGTCACAAAATGGCAGGATTCAGATTTGAACTCAGGCCTCTCTGGCCTGAAGGTTTATCCCACAGGGTTCACGGAGAATAGGGAATATAAACCTGAAGACGGGGCTTTCTTGTACTTGCCAAGTGGCAGGCCAGACCAGGGACCGATGGCAAGGCTCACGGAGGCCAGAGACAAGCGGATCGGCCTGGCTGGCTGGGGTCTGGGTCGGGGGGGTGGGGGGGGGTCGTGGGCAGGGCTACCAGGGAACTGGGGGGTGGTGTAAGGGCAGGACAGTCAGCAGGGAGCTTGAATTGGAGGGCTGGGGTGGCTGACGGGGCAGGCATTAGAGATGCTGGGAAAGGCGTGACTGGGACGCAGGAGCCGGCCTCAGGGCAGGAGGTCCTACGCAGTCGGCCTGTGGTGGCAGCGGGACAGGAAAGGTTTGAGGGACTTGTTGGAGGTCGTGGTATTTTATTGTTGGAAGAACCCTTGAAATCATCTCATCCAAGCTCCTTACTTAGATAAGGAAGCTGAGGGTCAGGGTAACAAAGGGACTCGGCCTAAGCCACAGCGGGAGCTGGGGTGGAGATCAGGATTCCAAAGACGTTATGCGGGGAGCTATCAATTCCAGTCATGACTTTGAGAAGTGGAAGAGCCAGTGTCCATAGGTGAGGACAAAGGGTCCAGACCCCTGTCTGGGGAAGCAGTGAGGCCAGAGGGCTCTGGGAGTGACTCAGGGCACCCGTCTCAGGCCTGAGCTGCATGAGTGCGCTCGGTAAAGAGAAGGGAGAAGGGGAACCCGGCGTATCCGGGGCCACTGGGAGCGGGAGCCAGGTTTCAAGGTGGGAAAGGAGAAGAGGAACCTGACTTTGGTAATTGGCAGGTTATCTAGCGGCCTTGGGATGGACAATCCCAGCGGAGTTTCCACAAGGGAGGTGTGGCGGAGGAGGTGGTGCAGACAAGGCGGCCGTGGCTACAGACCAAGGAAGTAGCCCGAGAACAGGAGGGAGCGTTCCTCAAGCTACTGGATCGATGCAAGTGTCCTCCGGGCTGGAGCCGTCTGGCAGAGAGGAGGAGAGGTGGCGAATCCGAGGAGGTTGGCAGGGCTGGCTGGGGTGGGCTGGAGAGCCAGGGACAGCCTGACGCTGCGGGGAAGGACGCTGCTTCCTTTGGGGCAGGTGTCGAAGAGGCACGAGAGCAGGACAAGGCAGAGCCTGCTGAGTCTGAGTGAAGACCATTGGCCAAGAGGGAGTGAAAGGACAGTCCCCGTGTCAAAGAGCCACTGAGGGGCCCAGTATGTCAAGTAGCACCCATCTGTCCTGGGTCCCCTCTAAATGTGTATTCTAGAGGCTAGGAAGACATGGCTGGTGTGAAATGGAGCCGTGGGGCTTGACCTGGCTGAGATGTGATGTCCAAGGTCAAGATCGGTGAGGTGGGATGGGAAGGCCACAGTTGTATGAGAGGTCCTGGGCAGATGGTACCAAGGGCGTCAGGACCTGGTGCATTGGACAGAGGCGGCAGCACGTGAGGGTACGAGACAAGGTCTGAGAAAGAGGTGGGGGACACTTCTCAGGGGGAGTGGCAGGGTCATGGGAAAGGCACTGGGGGATGAGGCATCCCCATGTGTCCCACCAGAGACCAGAAGAAAGCCACTGTCTGGGCCCCGGGGAAGGGGACAGGCCCTCAGTAGGGTCCTAGTAAGAGCAACGGGGTTTCCTTGGCAGTGGGTGTGAGCACGTCCTCTCCAGCAGGGCCCGGGGAGTGGACGGGTGCAGCCCCCAGGGGCCAGGCCTCTGCGGGGGTACGGCGCTCGCACAGGCTCTCTCGCTTGCAGGAGGCTCCTGTCCTGTTGTCGCTGGGCCCTCAGTGCTGCCTCACGTTGCTGGAGGGCAGCGGAAGGCCTGACGGCTGTTTCCCAGCCCTGTCTCTTTGCTATTTGTTATTAACAAATTTATTTACAGCCCCTCGACCAAGATTAATTGTGAAACTTAACGGGAATAGCATAAAAAGGCCACACACGGCCCCTGTGAGGGCTGTGCACAGTTGCTCTATTTCCAAACTCACAGCTCAGGTCCTCACCCGCCGCTGGGCCCCCCTTTCCTCCTCCGAAAGGAGAACAGAATAGCACCAGGCTTCTGGTAGCTTCAACATTTAAAGAGACAAACACACAGAGGCAGGCAAGGGTGAGAACCACAGTACAAAATGTAATAAAAAAAAAAAAGTGGCCAAAGAATCGATAGCAAACCCATCTCTGTCTCCAGATTAATGGCTTGGCTGAGAGAAATGGGGGGAGGTCCTCAGGGAGGGAGCGAGGGAGCAAAGAGGGTGATGGAGAAGTTGGCTGGGGAGCGAGTGACCCTAGAGCAGAGCCCCAGGTGGGCAGCCCCGGCCCAGGCCAGGAAGAGCAGAGGGGTCTGTCCCCAGAGGGGGCCTGGCCACATCTTGGGCGCAGGGGAGAGGTCAGTGCTGGGCCCCCACCGAGTGCAGGGGGAGGCAGCTCTGCAGGTGCTGCCACCGAGCCCCTCCTCTGCTTCATATGTTCCTCAGGATCTGTGTGCACAGCGTGGGGGGCTGGGGGAAGGGACACAACAGGCATTTTAGAAAGCAGAAGCGAGCCACATGCCTGTGGGAAAGGAGGCTGGGGTGGGGGTGGGGAACACTAACCAACCCTGGGCTCTGCAAAGAGGCAAGTGCCTGCGGAGGGACGGGAAGCCAGGCCAGGGCTCCTGCTGCTCCAGCTTCTCTGTAATCCTCTCCTCTGCCAAGCTTGCCTCTGCCTCCTGGCAAGCAGGCAGCTGGCCATGGCTGGCCAGTCAGGAGCATGGCTGGAGACAGGGGTAGGAAAGGGCAGTGCCTAAGCCCACACTCCCTTGGTCCTACCTGAAGGCTGGGCGGGCAGGAGGACTGGCTCCGCCCACCCAGAACTTGGCCATGACCACAGTTGTCCACTTGGCCTTCAAAGGCCAGGCCCCAGGCTCCGTCTGGCCCTGTTGGAGGGGCCCTGGGGCGCGCTCCTGCTCCGTGTACCTGTTCTGCCCTGGCTGGGTGCACAGTGCTCGGCAGAGGCGCGACTGGTATCTGCGCGCCCAGCCCTTGGGTCAGAAGCTGCCTGGCCCACGAAGAGCCACGTGCCCTGGCGGACCCACAGGGGCCACTTGCTGCTGGTGCTGGGCGACAGGGAGGGAGGGGACCACGAGAGGCCAGCGCCCCCACCAGCGGGGCAGAGGGCCGGGGAGAGAGGTAGCCTGGCTCTCCGCGGGCACCCCTGGGGGTTACGTGCCCGCAGCTGAGTGCAGCTGGGCTGCCAGCTGGCCCGGGGCCGCAGAGCAGCTGGGAGTCCAGCCAGTCTGCTGAGAGACAGGGCTGGGGGCTGCATACTCGGGACCCTCAGAACCCGGTGGGTGGCCTCCCCTAGGCCCCGGGGGCAGTGTGGCCCAGGACTCTGCCGGCCTGTCTGGGAGCTGCCAGGGCAAGGGGTCTTGGAGGGAGAGGCTGGTCTGTTGGGGGCACCGGGGCAGGAGGGAGGTGAGAGGCCCAGACTCATGGCCTGGAAGCGGAAGGGAGGAGAGCTGTCTGCCATCGGTTGTCCAGGTGCCACAGGGGCTGAGGGTTCTCAGGACAAAGGATGAGGCCTGTGGCCAGGAGACCCCTGGTTTCTTCTCAGCATTGCCACTGGGGAACTGCACCTTCCGCTTGTGGCCAACAAGCGCTGGGTCCGGGCCAGAGGAGAGGTCCGCAAAGCCACAGCTGGTCGGAAGGCACTGGCAAGTAGGGCTCCCGGACACCAGTGCCCCTGGGGGGTCCACAGTGACATCGGCCAACCCCCGCAGGTCTTGGCAGCTTGCTGCTGGCCCGGGCACCTCACCAGCCCCGACACATTCAGCTGGTGCCTCCATGCCGCCCACCACGCCATCCTGATCCGGGCTGCCGGGGGCCTGGGGGTTGTCTTCCTCCCTCACCATGGCACATGCTGCCCCGTCACAGGCGGGCTGGCTGGGAGACAGCGTCTCAAGACACAGAAGGTCGCAATCCAAAGCTGGGGAGTCTGGCTGCCTGTGGGGACAGAAATACCCTTTGGGCCACAGGGCTCAACTCCAAGGCAGGCAGTAAGCCGGGAGCCTGCTGGGCTGGGCTGAGGGCAAGGTGGGGGCGGGGCACGCACGACGCTACCCTTGTGGGATGCAGGGTGCTGAGGAGACCTGCCCGCTCGGGCCCCAGGAAACGCCTGCTCTTCGGGTCGGACCCTGCGGCAGCGGCCAGCGCCGTCTGCGCCTCTCTCGGCTCTGCGGCCTGTGGTCAGGGCTGGCCAGAGGAACAGGTTAGAGGCTGTTCCATTTAATAACTTCACAGAGGAGGCGGTGCCCTTTGGTGGCTGCAGGGAGCAGCAGAGCCTGGCAGTCTAAGCTGGGCTCAGAAGTGAGGCCTGAGGTGGAGACCGGGGCTGAAAGGTGAAGCAGCGGCACCTTGATGGAAGCTCACAGCCCTGGAATTCCAGTGATGCCCCACAATCCTTCTCTCTGGGGGTAACTTTCAGAGAGGCACAAAGACCTGGCTCTCTCCCTCCCCACCTGGGAGGGACCCAGGAATTCCCCCTCCATACTTCTAGAAGGCCAGACAGGCAGCATGTGACCAGACAAGGGACCAGGAGTACACCTGCTGCCCGTTCTCAGCCCCCCACGGCTCCACGGCTGTGGCCACGCCCAGGTGTTAGGAAGGGGGCTGCGCTCTGGTCTGGGTCCAGTTCCAATTGGCTAAAGCCACAAGCGGAGGTCTTTGCCACCCCCCTCCATCTCTAAAACAAACAAAATAGAAGGTGATGCGAAAGAGAGGTGAGGAAAGAAAAATGCCTCAGCCTGGTTCATGCTGTCACCAATCTGAGGGCTCCTCCCCACCTAGAGGGGGCAGCAGTGAAGAGGGACAGCGTGGCTGTGCCTGCCACCCTCGGCAGGGTCGCATGCGGCGCTCACCTGGGGAGGCTGGCCTGGGAGGGGGTGTCCACAAAGCTGTGGCTGAGCTGGGTGATGATCCGATCAACTTCTGCATACGGGTGGGCTTCGAGGGCAAAGCCCTGGTGCTGGGCACTCTGGAGGTGCTGCGTGGGGGCGGGAGCAGGCACAGGACATTAGACAAGGCCAGGGCAGGGTGCCAGCGGACCTTCCAGCCACACCAGAGAGGGACCGGGTGGGAAAGGCTTTCTCAGGCTGGTCGGCGGGGAAGTGCTCACCCCACGGAGCTCCTCAAAGGCCTCCTGGCAGCACTCGCAGTACCCTCTCCTCCTCCTGGGCACGGTGCGGGTGGCCGATTGTGGGCTTGCCTCCTGGTCCCTGGGCTCTCTGAGCAGGGGATGGGGTGGGAGAGAGTGGTCACTGCTGGAGAGTGGACCCGTCCCGGGTCCTCCAAGCGGGACGGCTGCTCCAGGGCCTTGCGCTCAGGCCAGGGAGGGCAGGGACCGACACGGCCACAGGGCTGGGCAGGCCCGCCTGCACTCGGCACCGCCGGCCCACGGGTGGCAGGGGAAGCAGCGAGGAAGATGAGACCTCCCCATGGGCACCCTGTCCTAGCTCTGTCCTTCCCCCGCCCACACAGCTCAAACCACAGGTGAGCGCGGGGGACAGCGGGTGGCAGCAAGAATCCTTTGAAGGACAATTCCAGCCCTGTGCTCACACCCAAGCCCCTGACCATCTGACGTGCAGGATGAAAGGGAAAGGCCCCAACAGCAGTGAGGGGGCTGTGCTGCCCTTGAGCTCCTGCACCTGAAATGTCCCCTCCCCCTGGTTCAGTCTGTCCCTTCTCTCTTGCTTGCTTGTCCCTTGCACAGCTGGGACTTCCAAATCTTTCTCAAACCCGACCTCTCATCTGAATTTCAGTCCTGGACTTCAAACAGCCTGTGGGGACTGCTACTGGGCTGTCCACGCAAACGCCACAAATCCAAAATATTCCCCTTTGAGGACTTTCAAAGTATGACACAACCCCCACCCCCCAAACAGGAAAACTACATGCAGTTTTTAAAAATGTATGCACGGCAGAAAACAAGCATAGTTGAAAGAGAAATCACAAACGAGGGGATAGTATTTATAACTAAAAACACAGAAAAGGGCTCATTTCCCTACTACATGGAGGGCTCCTTCCAAACCTGTAAGAAAGCGATCGATAACCGAACAGAGAAACGAGCAAGTGATGTGCAGAAGGTGCACACAAAGAAATTCAAATGATCAAACAATACAGACTGAACCTCATTCGTAATGAGGAAAAGTGAAAGTTCTAATTACAGAGATACGGTTTTTAACCTAGCAGGTTGGCCCAAGTCAGCAAGTCCGACAGCTCCCGGCAGTAGCCAAGGGGGCGGGGAACCGCGCTCTCCAGGGCGGGTCAGTGTTTACTGGCAGTGCCTCCCTGAAACACATCTGGCTGCAAAATTAGGAATGCAGGCACCCTTTGACCCAGTATTTCCACTTTGAGGAATTTATTCCGCAAACACACTTGAACAAGACTATTCACTGCAGCCTTTTTTATAATAGCAAAAGAGTGAAAATAATCAGCATCCATCAATGAGAGACTGGGTAAATACAGTGAATCCATACAATGGAACGCCACGCAGCCATACAAAGGAATGAAGATGCTTTTAGGTACTAATGAAAATTAACCTAAGATACAGTAAGTGGCAAAAGCAGGATCCAGCCGGGCAGATCTTAGGCTGTTCTCTGTGCAGGCAGAGGGAACAAAGGACATGATGCATCTCTGTGTACACAAACCATCTCTGGAGAGACCCATGATCTGGAGCTTAGAGGACGGGTGTGGGGGACTTTTCACTTTAAACCCTTTGTAATGCTTGAATTTTGAGCCAAAATAGTACTTTTTACATTTAAAAAATTAAACATTTCCTCCCACTGATTTTATACACGTGCACATACACGGAACCCTGGCCAACATCCTATTCTCACGTGCAGACACCAAAGCTCCATCGCTTCACCGCCTTCCCCTTATCATCCCAGGTCTAGCGCCACCTACCAGCCCTGAGCCTGTGGCCCCTGGCTGGCCCCCTGTGGTGTCCCCTGCACCTTCAGGGAAAGGTGTGAAGGGCTCTTGGACCTCAACTCAGCTGGTTCTCCCCTCCCTCCCCTCCCCCTATTGCCACGTTCTCTTCTGTTTTCCCTCCCATTTGCACTACTCTCCGATCCTGCCACCTTTGTTTGCCAGTGGACCTGTGGCCTCCTTGGCCCTGGAATCTCTCAGGCTGAGTCTGTTCTGTCCTCCTGGTCTATGAACTAACTATGTGGCCCAGAAGTTGGAAAGGGTCTGAGAAGGCATCTAGTCCATCAACAGAGCCACGCTCTTCTGCACTTCAGTTAGTGAAGGTTCACATTTCACACATCTGTGGAGTAGGAACACGAATAAGCCCACAAGCCACTTTAGGCCACACAACACCCAAATAGCTAAGGCCCCCTGCCCCTTAGTTATTCCTTATGTTTAGCCCAAAGGCCTCATATTCTGATGCGCACCACGTCACCCCGGAAGCTGGGGAGGATGCAGCTTGCAGGCTCCATCATCAGAGACTGTGACTGTAGGTGTGACATGGGGTCCAGGAACCTGCATTTTTAAAAAACCTGAGGATGTTACCGGTTGTAGAGACAGAATAAAGAAGAGAGAAAGAGAGAAACATCAATTTGAGAGGAACTTCAATCGGTTGCCACCTCTGTATGCTCTGACAGGGGACTGAACCCACAACCTTTGGTGCACAGGATGACGCTCCAACCAAGGCACCCGGCCAGGGCCAGGAACCTGCATTTTTAGCGGGACTCCAAGGGACTCTGATAAAAGTGGTTTATAGATTTGAGTTTCAGAAACAAGATTACTGTTCTCTGGAAACAAGTCCAATTCTTCGGTAGGAACGGAGAACACCAAAAAAACGGATGAACACTCCTCTTGTCTCTTCTCTGGGCTGAGTTCCCAGAATAGACTTCACATAAGGAGATAACACATGGCCGTTCCCAGATCTGACCAGCAGGCCCCCGAGGGAAAGGACTCTGGCCTGCACCCAGCCCTCGTTTATTCAGGAACCAGGAAGACCCACCTGGTACGGTGCGAGCTGCCCGGGCTCGTCGGGGCCTCAAAGGGACTTGCGTCTTTGGGTCCCAGAAAAGAAATTTCTGGAAAGGATTTAAACTGATGGTGGAAAGGACGAAACTTCCTGAAACACAGAAAACTTCCACTTTGACTCTCGTGGGGAAGGTAACGGATGAGGAAGGGGGGCTGGCCCAACCCGCTGCAGCTCCAATCTTGACAGAGTAGACTCACCTGCACATCTTCTAGCTTCTGAAACTAAACTCCCATCAGCCTTTCTAGGTTAAATGAATACCTACATTCTCTGTGTCTACTCTTCAAGCCTGCTTATACCCACTGCTTCATCTGAGTCCTGTAGCCACCTCTGAGCTGAGCCAAACAAGGAAAGCAAGCCCAAAAGATCTGGAAATCACCCAAGGGCTCAAGGCTAGTACGTGGCCAAGACCAGACCAGAAGCCAATGTCTCCCGACTCCTGATCTAGCTCTTCCCACGTTTCCATTTTGTTTCTTGACTCTAAAACTACCTCTGAGGACTCTAGGCTTGCAGCATCTAAATGGAAGAATGTTTAAACCAGAGCAGTGGCGTTCCTGCCGCATTAAAAGCAGCACTTTTGCTCTGGGCTGGTCCTTTGCACCCTCTGAAGGAGAGCATTCTGAGCAGGAGAGGCACAGCGGAGCTTCTGCAGGCAGACCCGTGCTGAGTGGACTTGGTGGTCTGCCCCAGTCGCTCGCACTGAAGCTCGGAGCCAGGTCTGACGATGTGCAGACACTCAGCACGCCCCGTGCTGTGACTGCGGGCACCCCGTGCCTGGTGCCACGGCCTGTACTCCAGGGAGCGCGCAGGCCGTGGGTTCCTGGGCGGCTCAATGAGAGCCCCGTGGCCTCAGGAATGACTTAACAAATCCCTTGGACATGCACACGGAAGGGCTGCCCCCCACAGCCCTGGCACCCCATTCCTTTCTCTTCAGTGTGGCTTTGTTTCTGCTTAGGAGGCCGCAGGGTTGAGGCCGGTAAGGCCATCAGGCTTTGAAGCGCACCTAACTCTGAATGGCACATAAAAGGGTCATAAGAAACCTCGGCTCCACTCGAACCTCTTCTGCTGCCTGTGATGCGAGGGGCACGCAAGTACCTGAACCCCCCTCCAGTGAGTGGCATTGGCTGTGGCTGCCACGTGCAGGGAGAGATCCAGGGCAGTGTCTCTCCGCCACTGTCTGGATCCTGCCGACTTGTATGTAACTGGTTGCAGGGGCTGGGGTCCATGGACATGCACGCCATCCCACCAGGACTGGGGAAGACACAACCTCGTCACCAGCCCTGTGTTCCTGACCCTCAGGTTTGGGCCGTTAAAGCCAACTCTGCACTGCGTACAGGGACTGGGAAGGGAACGCGGGCCCATCTGGAGGATGGGCAGATGCGCCAGGCTCCTCCGGCTGGGTCTTCCGCTGCCCTGCGTGAGGGTGAGGGACCCAGAAAATTCTGGCCCCAGGACTCTCTGCTGGAGACACATGGACCATTTCCCTTTTCAAAAACCTTTTATTTTGGGATAAGTATAGATTCACATGGACTTGATCTAGTACCTACCGAAGAGTCAGGGATAGCCCAGGTGGCTAAGAGCTCATCAGGTTATCATTGACCTGGCCTCCCTGCTCCAGGTAAAAAGGTGCCCCTGGAGGGGACAGGCTGAGTGGAGGGGCCGCCAGGCAGAACAGCTGCAACATCTGGGTTCTGGCCCCGGCTAAGATTCATTAGTAAAGCGGCCACATGCAGGTCCCCCATTCCTCTGCCCTGCTGCCCCACTAGGAAGAGGGTGGACTCTCCTGCCAAGGGCTTTAATGAGATGACATGGACCAGAAGCGGGCTCTGCCCAGCAAAACAGAAGGACTTCCTCGGGCGCAGGGAGTCCCAGCACCGCCCCAGCACTCTCACTCAGCCGAGACCCCTGCGCTCGCCCTGGCCTGGGTCCGGCGGCGGTTCGGTAGCACACCGAAGTGTCAGCATACAACTAGGAGTACGCATGGGGCGATAAGGAGCCTGTATGGACACCACGAGCTCATAAAAGCGGAGCATTAAAAGGAGGCAGCTCACACACAGGATCATTAACCTCTGACTCGTGACCAAGGGGAGTGCCAGCTGTGTAAGGCGCCCTCAGGGGTTCCTCCCCCTGGACTACACAGGACTCCTCCATGACAGGGGGAGAAAGTGTAGCTGCGAAGGCACAGCTACAGGGCTGAGGGGCTCCACGACCCCTTGTCAGCTGGGACCTCACCTCCGTGTGGGCCTGGTGGAGGAGAGGGGAGAGGGAGGAGGCCCCACTCACCGGCTCTCGTCTTCAATTTTGAGGAACGGCGCCTTCAGCCTGGCCACTGGAAAGGAAGCATGCACACATTAGCTACCTGTCTGCTCCAGCACGGGGCCCGCGCCGCACACACAGGATGTGCTCAGGGAGGCGAGGCCCTGCAAAGCCAAAGAGCCCTCAGAGCTGGACCACTCGCCGTGCCCAGGTGTGCACTCGGCAGAGGTGAGGCCCCCGCTCCTGCCTCGTCCGGCCTCCAAGCTGGGAGAAAGAGTTCCACCTTCGGGGGCAGAGGCTGCAAGGTGCCCAGGGTCCTAGGCGTGCCCCTGCTCAGCAGGACAGAGGACCCTCCTGCATGCGGGTTCCAGACGCTATCGACTGACCATCAGAACCCTAGCTGAGTGGGAGGCTGGCTCCTGCTAAAGGCTCCTTGCCAGACCTTTACTCCTCCTGTCTCAGAATCCTGAGGGGCCTGGGAACACTCCCAGGCAGAACGCTCCTGAGGGAGGACCGTGGGTTTTTGTGTGTTTGGGGGCGGGGGTTGGGGAGCAGAGAGGAAGAGAGCTAACAAGTGTTTAGAGATCTTGGCAGAAGGATGGTAAAAAAAAACACATCAAAGGTAAAATCTGGTTCCCCGCCCCCACCCCCGCCAAAATAGGGCAAAGGGGTTCTGGGAGGACAAACTGGGAGTCAATTAATCAAGAGATTCATCCCCTGGAGATGGTTATTTGCACAGGGTACAAAATCTCTATGGCATTAAGAACCATTTCTACCTTCCCACGGTGACCAGAAGTGCTGTCAAAAGGGCCGCAAGCCTGGGCAGAACTAACAGCCACCAAATCTGCAAAGAAGCTGGCATCTCACAGCTTCTAGACCTGTTCGAGGAAGCCGCCAGCACCCAAGCGAAAAAAGCAGACTTTCTCCTTGCACGGCAGCAGCTCCCATTAATTACTTTTTTGGGGGCGAACCCTTGTCTAATTAACTGAGACAGTTATTAAAATCAATTCCCCCATAGATTTCCTTGAATTTCGAACATGAGAGGTGCCAAGTGACTCTTCTTAGCTCCCGCTTGCGCACGAGTAAATGCCACCTAAAGAGCAGCTCTGGGAGAAGGATCTAGGGGAGAGGCTCTCCTGCTGTCCAAGAGGAGCCCGAGCCGGGCCTGTCAAGCTGCCTGTTTGTCAATTTTGGGGAGTTTGGCATTTCTGAAAGTGGTGGGCAGCTGTTAAACTGCCCACTCCAAACTGCTCCTGAATCAGAGGGAAAAGGATGCGGAACTTCAGTTGATGGCCAGGAACAGCCAGAGGACGCGGGAGCCGGTGGGACCACATGGGGTCTTGGCTCTAAGGAGAGGCCCCGGCCCGGCAGCTCCAGACTTGCTCGGGGTTGCCCCTCTCCTCTCTGAAGCCCAGGCCCGGGACACATGATGGGGTGACACGACCTGGCCTCGCTTCCTGCCGCAGAAAAGCGAGCAGATGCTGCCACAGAGGGAGTCGCAGGGAAGCATTTAGGAAAGGAGGGATGGCAATTAGATGAGGCACAGGCGCCACACTGACCTCTCCGTGTTCTTGACTCTGCTGGACACGTTCCCTAAACGGAAAGGGAAAATAGGTTAAGGGTGGGAGGGAGCCGGGGGGGTCGAGGACGCGGGCCGGTGAGCTGAGTCGCTGTGAGCCTGCCCCACTTTGCTCCGGCTGGGCCCTGAGCTAGAGCTGACCTGAGCACAAAGGCTCCCTCCGCCTCCCCAGGGGCACAGCGAGAGGGGAGCATTGCGTGCAAGTCTCCAGCCGACTCTGCGGAGGGAATGCAGGCCGAGCGACAGCGAGAGCCGCGCCGCGCCACCTGTGCTGTGAGGAGCGCTCACCACCTGCTCGGACGTGGCACGAATGGGTGGGGGCAGGTAACAGACCTGACACAGAGCAGGTGCTCACTAAATGGCAGCTTGTAAAGACAGGGCCGTCCAGGCAGGCGGCCATTTCGGGTCAGGTTACAGGACAAGAGTGAAGATGGTGCATTTTCCTTTCCTGGGCCCTATCTTATGTGCCCTGACTGTTGGTCAATACCACCATGTAGGCCAAGGTCAAACAAAGCTAATATTAAAAACTAAATGGAAAGAATTAAGAAATCAGTAGAGGTGGGGGATGGGGCAAGATAAGGCAGCCAGCGAATCCATCACTGCAGGATCCTCCTCCAGGGCACAGACCATCAAAGATGCCTCCTACTTCCCCGTGCACGTCAGTGGGCTGCACCCAGAACCCACTCCAAAAGACTGCCAAGTATCCAAGAAACAGATTGTGTGAACAAAATCAAGTAATGATACTGCATATTTGCATAAAAGGGGGAAATTTCGATCTATCTGCTGTAAGTGCGTGGACTCCTGGAAGGCTACCTGACGAACTGTTCACACTGCGTATCTCAGGGAGGGAGCTTGGTGGCTGGGGACAGAGGTTGGAGGAGATGGGCTCTGACTGCACACCTTTCTAATTGTGACAATGCAAACCTATTTAGTAGCGCAGCAGACCCCAAAGGCCCCTAGACCAGAGGGTGCAGGGCAAGGGGTGCCAGCGCCAAGCGCTCCGTCAGGGCCTTTGCTACCGCTGTCGGTCCTGCTCCTGGGTGGACCTGCGGGGCTTCCTCCTGCCTCAGATTCTGGCTGGGCGGAAGCCCTGTGGCTTTCAATCAGCTTAGGCCGTGTTGATGCGATACACAGGTTCTAACTCCAGCGAAGGGAGGAAAAGCTCAACCAGAATGTGGAACGTGGCAACTGTTTCAAATCACATCCCCCACCCCAGCCTCCACCCATTCGCTCTGTAGGCTCATTTCCAGGCCAAGAGGTGTCCCCAGAAAGGCAGCGGGGCCAGCGGGCCACGGGCATTTACATTTTATCTAGGCACGGGGGGCAGCGACTGCCTCAGCGTACCGCGGGGATTAGCGGGTGGCACCGGGAGGCGAGGGCAGGCCACGCGCACCAGGCACAGGCTGGCTGAGGGGCTGCACTCCGCTTACTTCTTCCAGGGCGGCCAGCAACAGACAGCGTGGGTGGGACACATATTTCCCAAAGTTGCCACAGACTTCACAGTTTGCAAACCGTCCATTGCCTGTCAGCTCGGCAGGATGACCTACCTCTGGCTTCTTCGGCCCCCGTTTCTTCAGACGCAGAGCATCTAAAGAGAGCTGCTGCACGTGCATCATCATTTCTGTGGAGAAACCAGAGGGCTGTGGCTAAAGGCCTCCGCTCCCCATTTCCCCAGCAAAGCCTCTCCCCGGGGCTGCGGGACCAAGAGTCTCACCAGGCAGGCGCATTGGCTCACACCAACCTTGCCTGCCACCTTCTGGCTACGTGTCACCTCTGCACCTGCTGATAATAAAATAAATGGCTGGGTCCTCTACCCCTGGAAAAGGACCTAAGCAGGCTTCGTGCGCTTTTGTCGCACTGAATATGACTCTTGCACACAAAGTGGCTTCTGGCTCACAAAGGGCCCTAAGGTACTTCTGAAGAGCTGCTTCTGCGGGGGAGGCCGAGCCTCTGAGTCACTCAGACGTGTCCTTCGCGGGGAAGACCCAGCAGGGGCTATAAGTGCCGGGGCTTCTCTAACACACAGGAAGGCAGGAAACTGGATCAAGTCAGAAACAGCTAATTTTGCAGTGACAATGGAACCCCCAATTCCCAGGTCAGGACCCTCCCATACACAGTTCTCTATCCCGCTGGCAGATCTCAGGCTGGATCTGGACCAGCTCCCTTCAAGGATCAGAGAAACCCAGCTCGAGGCGGAGCTACGTAGGAGGGCCATTCATGGCCAGCCTATTCAGGAGAGCTATTCCAGTGCGAGCTGTCACAACCTGCACAAAGGCGGCAATAGCGTGAGGCAGCCTTGTAAAAAATAACGTGAAGTTTGGTTGGGCCAAACCAGTTTGGAATGCGGGTCCCACTCCACACTCCTGGTGAGGCAGGGTAATTTACTTAATCCCTCTAAGGCTTAATTCCCTCATTTGTACAATAGGCAGAGGACTGCAGTGAGAATTAAATAAGGTAATTCCTAGAACAGAGTAAATACCCAGTAAGTGGTCATGGATATTAGGGTTATTTCCTTATTTCTAAAACAAGATCATTACATTAGTCTGAGAAGTGCTGTTGGGCAAGTTAAGCAGGATAGCACCTTCCAGTTCATTCACGCACGCTGCTATTGCGACTGCTGGCCCCCACCTTCGTGGACCAACACGGTAACTGAGCGCGCCCGGCTTCCAGCCAGCTCGCCCAACTGGGATCCCTCTAAAAGGGAACGTTCCCTGCCAGTCACCAGCTCTTCCCTCTGCTGGGGCCCTGGGCAGAAACGGTACCGTCCACGTGCAGAATCCTCACTCCCCAGGAGCGGGCGTTGGTCAGGAGGCTGCTGCTGCTCCTGCTGCCTCCTCCACTGCTGCTCCCCTGGAAAGAAGCGGCATCAGGCAGGTGCATGAGACGCCGCAAGGCCTCAACACCCAGGGGACAGGTCATCCTGGCTTCTGGAAGCTCTGGGCCATCCACACGGAGGGGTGCTGTGGGGAGAGTCTACCCCACCCTTCGGGGACACCCTGTCCTCCACACGGGCCAGCCGCATCTGGGGGGCGCGGACTGCAGGTCTCCCTACACGCTCTGCCCTGGCCGCCTTGCGACCAGGAAGGAACACGTGCTTCTAAGAGGGCTGCATGTGTTGCTGGGAGGGCCTCTGTGAGGAAGGCTCTCAGCACACAGCAGTAAATACCAGCGACGGTCACCATCACCTGGCAGGAAGCTATGCTGCCGCAGCCTTTTCCCACCCTGCCGCCCGAGTCTGACATCACCGCCCCCCCCCCCCGTCATCGCAGCCAATGCACCCATCTTGATGTCACTTTAACGACTCCTCTCACAAGATGACCTCAATTCCTCCTCCTGCCACTTAGCTTGACTGGTTCCGGATAAACAGCTACGTGTGAAAGATTTACAGGGTCCGGCTGTGGGCAGAGCGGACATACCCCAAGGCGCGCCTCCAAGATTCCCTTGGTGGGCTCTGAGTACGGGAACTCAAGGAGTCAAATCCCGGCCCTACCACTGACACCTGGGTGACTCTGGACAAATGACTTAACTTTGGAAGCCCACTTCCTCATTTGTAAGGAGGAAATAACAATGTATCTCATAGGCTGTGTTTTGTGTTAGTACAGCTGACTCTGAACGACATGGGTATTAGGGGTGCTGACCCCTGCAGAGGTCAAAATCCAGACAACTTCTGGCTCTCCAAAAACTAGGCTGCCCCTCCGTATCCACGAGGGAACTTCTCCACGACCTCCTGTGGGTACCAAAATCCATGAACACTCAAATCCCCTGTGGAAGACGTCACAGATCAATGAATACAGTCGTCTCTCCCCATCCACGGGTTCCCAACCATGAATCAAAAACAGTACATTTATTGGGGGGGGCGGGGAGTCCACATATAAGTGGACCTGCACAGTTCCAACCAGCGTTGTTGGAGGGGCACTTGTGTCTATGAGCAGCTCACCTGCTTTGTGATGGCTTTCTGCAGCAGCTCCTTCCCCCTGCTCATAGGCACCTGGCAGGAGGAGAAGACCAATGAGGAGCGCTGCGTAGGCCGCCGGTGCCCAAACAGCCCTTTACACCGGGGTGGGCCACGATGTCTTGGGAAGCTGGGAGCAATGACAGCTGAGGAGTGGCTGACATGCGAGTCCACAGAAACTTTCAGGGGTAAAGGTAAAGTCACACCCAAGTTCAGGGCGCCAGCAGGTAGCTGCGACCTGGACCCTGGCAGACAAGGACACTCTGAATTCACCAGAGATCAAAGGGTTACAGGTGTTCTAAGACCTCCCTTCAAGGGTCTCTTGCATTTGCCAGCAGACACGCCTAGGCCAGTGTCTATGAGCCCTCCCTTGTTTATAGAGGACATTCCTACTGTTTCTGAGCCTCTGACCCTGCAGTCCCATGTGAAGGGACAATACATCATAAAAGACATAGCATGGGGAAAGCACGCTGGGGGATGTTTAAACCGGGGCTACGATAAAATAGCTTCAGCCCCTGAATTCCAACAAGAAATTAAACCAGAAGAAACAAAAACCAGAGGCTGCCTCCAAGGGCCCCCTGAGGCTTTTACTTCCTTCGTGTAGAGAAGACACCTTTGCTCTTCCACGAGGTTCTTACCACGTCCGCAGGGTTGGGTGAAGGCCTGCTGTCAACGGCCCCTGGGCTGGCTGTGGGCGGGGCTTCCGCTCTGACCTCTCTGGGGCTGGAGTGGCCTCGGTGGCCTGCCCCACAGCCTCCTGCCTTCGCTTCCCTGCGGCTGGACACGATGTAACTTACTTCTTTGCTCAGAAAACCCTCAATTACCTGAAACCAGATCACAGAGGTGGCTGAACACCAAAAGGAAGATGTAGAATCATCAATACCAAGAGGCTGGAGAAGGAAACACTGGCTGCCAGAAGGTTTAAAGACATTAAATCAATGTCTTTAAATAGACTAGATGCAGTTCTGCACTGGGCCCCCACGCGGATATCATCCTGAAACATAATAGGGTTTATATATAAAAATGCAGGTTTTTGTCTCCAGAGCCACTGTGCCTGACCCAGCAGAAGGCCACAGGCTTTGAGTTATTTGACCAGTCTGAGTTTGCGCGGAGTAAGAGCACACTGAAGGGACCAGAAAGGATTAAAGGTTAGCTTGGTTAAGCCGTGCTTTTTCTGTGAAGATACACGGAGACATCCAGACCCTGCACCTGTATCCTTGGCTACACTATTAAAAGGAGCCTAAAATATGAAACCAAAAGGGCTTTGCCTACTACTCAGCGCGGAGGTATCTGCTCACTCACCTGAAGTCCCTCGTGAGCACTGAGGGTTTGACGCATCTTTGTATCCTAGGAGACCAACACAGTGCCTGAAGCACAATGACACTTCATTCATGTTTGTGGGAAGAAGAGAAGATGGAAAGAAGCAGTGGTGAGCAAGCAAATGTTTAATGATGGTCTCTGGGGGGGGGGAACCCCTACTTTGTAGCACGTGCTGACTTCTCTGGTGTAAATACTCCCATTATGGCTGATTTCAAGCTCCCAACATGATGTCACTGAACATGGACTTAGAAAGAGATGCTAATAATTGGCTCGTGAGAGCTAGTACTAGCCGGCTTGAGCATATCACTGAGAATAAGGATGCATGATGTCTCTAATGTGTGACTGAATGAGCAACCTGGCCCTTAAGTATACGCACCCAAAAGAATTAAAAACAGGGACTTGAACAGACACTTGTACACCGATGTTCACTGCAGCGTTACTCACAACAGCCAAAGTGTGGAAACCTCCCAAGTGTCCACCAACAGAAAAACAGATAAGCAAAATGTGGTGTATCTATACAATGAAATATTATTCAGCCACAAAAAGAAATGAAGTGTTAATACATGTACAATGTAGATGAACCTTAAAAACATGCCAAGTGAAACAAGCTGCCAACAAAAGGACAAAAATCAGTGATTCCACTGATGTGTAATATCTAGAATAGGCCAATTCATAGAGACAGAAAGAGATCGTAGGGAAAGGAAATGGGAAGTTATCGCTTAATGGTTAGAGTTTCTATTTGAGGTGATAAAAGTTTTGGAAACAAAAACGTGGTGCTGGTTACACCACAGTGTGACTGTAATGAATGCCGATGAACTGGACGCTTAAGGACGGCTAAAATGGCATGTTTTGTTATATACATTTTACAATTTAAAAGGAACCTTTAAAGTTATGGCTTAAAGGAGTACTTCTGTCTACCTTCTTAATATGGCAAAAACAAATGCTAGAGCCCGTGGGAGCGGGGCAGTACTTATCCTGTACGAATACGGTAGACAGTTCCACAGCCGCACATCCCTCCCACCGCAGCACGCCTGCTCCTTTGTGGTATGACCTCGCTGTTCCTTCTGTTAGGAGGTGGAGGCCTATCCTTCCACCCCCTTGAATAGGACTCCTGTTGCCCAAGAGAATGGAGAAGACAGTGCGTATGAGTTCTGGAGCCGAGGCCCCAAGGGGCCTTGTGGCTTCTCCCTTCACCTTCTGGGAAAGCTGCCCTGAGACCACGGTGTATGTCAGCTGGTTTAGCTCACTGTGCATACACATGATAGTACACATACAGACGACGTGTATTGGAAGTTTCTCACAGAATGTAGGAGAAGCCACGGAGGCGGCCGGCACCAGCTGCCAGCTGTGTGAGTGAGGTCAACTCGGTCCTTCCAGCCCAGCGGGCCCTCCAGCAAAGTGCAGCTACGAGAGAAACCACCAGCAGAGAAACTGCCTGGGCAATCCAGAGAACAGTGAGAAATAACTTGTTTTAAGCCCAAATTCTGTGGTGGTTTTTTTTAATAAAGGCTAAATGATAGAAGACTTAACAAATGTATTTTGGGGCAGTTTGGGTGTGTGAGTGTCATTCAGTCGGTCCCCACTGCCGACTCTCTACAGCCCAGAGGGTCGGTTAGTTTGACAGCAGAGGGCCCTGCGTGCTAAGCCTCTGCAAGTAGCTTCCCCCGTGGACCCTCCTCTGGGCTAAGTGCTACCATCCTACCTTCTAGCCACGGAGCTGCCTGTGCCAGCCCTCACTGACAATTCCATATGACACACACTGCTTTAAAAATATTTTAAAGGTCTCAAACACAGCAAATGCTTTTTACCCAAAGTTCTTCACTGTGGCGTCATGTATAAAAGCTCCAATTTATAAATAACCTAAATGTCCATACAGTAAGGTAAGTAAATTAATAATCCACTCAAAAGATTATATTCTCATTACAAATAATGCAAATGAGTGACAATAATGACAGGAAGGTGCTAATGCTTTAAGGTTATGGGCAAAAAGTTCGTAACCAAAAATGTATTCATAGCCCTGGCCGGTACCGCTCAGTTAGCTGGCGTGGCACATTCCATAACCCGCAAGGTCACAGGCCGGATTCCCGGTCAGAGCACATGCCTAGGCTGTAGGTTCTGTCCCCAGTCAGGTGCTTGCGAGAGGCAACAGACAGATGTTTCTCTCCCTCCCTTCCACTCTCTCTAACGTCAATAAGCATGTCCTTGGGTAACGATAAAAAATGTATTAATGATCATAGCTACACAGAAAACAAGCAGTAAAAAAATAAAGGCAGAATGGAGACAAGCAGGTAAATGGTTACCCACGGCTGGGGGTATGGAGAGAAAAAGGGGAGTGATCAACATGGCTCTGGGTTTCTTTTTTTGAGGGCGATGAAAATATTCTAAGACTGTAATCACACTTGAACATCTCTGTGGATATACTGAAAAACACTGCACTGTTCACTTGATTTTATTTTCAATTTTTATTTATTTATTTTAGAGAGAGCGAGAGAAACATGGATTTGTTGTTCCACCCATCCACGCATTCATTGGTTGATTCTTGTATGTGCCCTGACCAGGGATTAAACCTGCAACCTTGGCGTATCAGGGTGACGTTCTAACCAACTGAGCCACCCAGCCAGCGCTGAACTGTTCACTTTAAATGGGTGAATAGTACGCTATGTGAATTGTATCTCAATAAAGCTGTGAAAGAAAACAAAATGAAAGAAAGGAGAAAAAGAGTCCAGGGGAAAAAAAAAACCAAACATCAAAATGATGGCTGTCACTTGCAGCAGTTCCATGTTCTCTAAAATTTCTAGAATAAACAGATATTATTCTTCTAATTAGAAAAAAATTTAACTTTGTGTTAAAGTATGGTTTACACTTGAAATTGCTTTGGAAAAACGTAGCGATGCCACTGAAAACACCTGCAGGACACAGATATAACCCCTGTCCAGCTCCTGCCCTACAACCTGCAAAGGCACATGGTACCACGGGAGAGGCAGGCTACATACCCCTCCCAGCTGCTGGATGGCCCCTGTCAAAAGCTGCAGATTCCTCCCAGCAGGCAGATCCAAGTAAAAGGACTTTCCAGAAAAGGGCCGCCGCCTCCCCGCATCTAGTGAGCTCTTCCGGCGTTTTTCCAAACAACTGGAAACTCCTAGGTGAGCCCCTAGAAGGAACAAAGAGGAACGAAGTGAGAAGTCTGAGGTAAGGGGGGAGTCCTGTAGGTCAAGCAACCTCACTGACAGCCTGTGGGGTTTGCACTGGCCAGGCCGGGGCACAGAGGGGAATTTGAGACCAGTCTTCCTGCCTGGGGTGGTTTTCCCCTTCTATCCAGTCCCCCAGTCCCTAATCTCAATAGAGGGGCGTAAGTTAGGCCCTCAACTTTTGTATGGTCCTTGCAGGGGCACCTACATTATCAATCAGGGCAGGTGATAGTCTCAAAGGAACATTGGCTTATAAGAAAATACGAGGCAATTGAAGAAAGCAAGATGCTTTCTCTGGTATAGGTTACTTACCTGTTATAAGTAAGGGACTGGACAGAAAAAAGAATTTTAAAGTATAATAAATATCTTCAGAAAGGCAAGGAAGGATACTGGAAACACAAAAACAGAAGCAGTAGGTAAAGAAAAGAATTGAGAACTCCTGCATGAATCTAGAGAAAAGGTAAACGAGAAAATAATCCATCTGACTGAAGAGATAAACAGGATTGTTGTCTATCTCAGCCTGGGCTCTGCGTGAAGGAAAGTCTTACTGAGAACTCAGAACCACAGGCCTTCCGAGGGTCTGGAATTCATATTCACACTACTTATGTGGTCTAAGAATCCACTACGACCACCCCAAACAGAAACTAATGTAAAAAGTAATCCCAGCAAGCAACACTTGGTATACCTCAAAGAATTAAAACCAAAACAACTCTAGAGATAAATGGCTCAGACCACAGTTCCCAGAATTTCCTCAGGTAAAGCATCATCAAATATTAGTTCACACTCCAACACTATAAAACATATGGAGGAAAAGAAGCACAACAGGTAAGAATGAGCAGAAGAGATAGCAAGATCAGATCTTTGAGAGCTCGAAACAGAATGACCAGATAGAGACCGGAAGTGTTTATATTAGTAAATACTTTAATTTTATTAAATTCTTTAAAATGCAAGAAAATAAAAGTCAACTTAGAATTTTATATCTGACTAAGCAATTATTCAAGACTGAGGGTAAAATAAAGACTTTTTTTAAACTAAAGATTTTATTTATTTACTTTTTTGTTTTTAGAGGGGGAAATGAGGGAGAGAGAGAGAGAAACATCAATGTACAAGAGATAGATCAATTGGTTGCCCCTTGCACGTCCCCAACCAGGGGCCTGGCCCGCAACCCAGGCATGTGCCCAGACTAGGAAGTGAACCAGCGACCTTTCGGTTCACAGGCATGTACTTTATCCACTGAACCACACCAGCCAGGGCATAAAGACATTTTTTTAAGCAAATAATACTCCAGACAGTTTATCACCAATCAATTATTACCAAAGGACTTCAAAGAGGTGTACATTGGAAAGGAAACTTAACCCAAAGGAAGGACTGAAATGCTAAAAAAAACTGGTAAAAAATGTGTATAAATATAAATAATCACTGACTGTATAAAACAATAACAATGATGACTAATTTGGAAGTAAAAAAAGATAGGAAATAATAATAATAATAATGATGATGATGTTGCTGGAGAGCAATAATGCTAGATGGGGTAGGGCCTAGCCCTGCAGTGTTCGGGAGGCGGCTAGAAGTATTTATGTCAGACTTTGCCACAGCACACTGGAAGCTGAAAAAAAATGGAACATGTCTTCAAAACTGAGCAAAACTATTTCCACAATTAAGAAGTTTATATTTAATTCAATTATATTTTAATAATAATATGTTAAAATTTTATATACTTTGAAATATTTGATTTTATAATTGTTTAGATTAGTGCTAATAAAAATAGGAGTCACAAATATGAGCCACATCAGTAATTTTAAATTTTCTAGTAGTCAAATTAAAAAAGTAGAAACAAAACCAAAAAAACAAAAACAGATGAAACTACTTCTAATATCTTATTTACCAATACATTAAAAAATTATTTCAAAATATAATCAATATAAAAAATGTTAATGAAATATTTTATGTTTTCTTCCATATTAAGTCTTAGAATCAGTGTGTATTTTACACTTGCAGCACAACTTAATTGGACAGGCCACATTTCAAGTGTTCAGTGGCCACGTATGGCTAGTACAGCGTACCCTTAGATCATTGAGGTCAATAGGAAAACAAAAGATGTGCAAATCTTTATTATAACAACTTAATTCATGGTTTTGCTGAAGGAAAGGAACGTTTATGTAATAAATGCATAATGATTTTAAAGAACAAACAATTTCCACCCTAGAACTCTACCTAGGTGAATTATCATTCAAATGTAAGGTAGCACAGAAATCAGATCTGCCAGGTCTCAAAAAATTGAATTCTCATGTACCCTTTCCCAGGAAGCTATACTGGAAGATGTACTCTACTAAAAACAGGGAGTAAACAGAGAGAGGAAAATAGGAATTTAAAATATAGAGAATCTATATTCTAAGAGGCAAAAGGAATTCCACAGAATGATGAAGGGAGATCCTAGGATGAAATTAGTGTACAGGCCTAGTGTGTAGCTGGACCAGGCTGGAGTATTAAAACCTCAGAAGGTATGTGTTCCAGACAAAGAAGAAACTGAGTACCCTCACAAGGCACTCACATGGTTAAAGTGTCATCTTGATACGCCAAGGTTGCAGTTCAATCCCTGGTCAGGGCACATACAAGAATCAAACAATGAATGCGTAAATAAGTGTAACAACAAATCAATGTTTCTCTCTCTCTCCTTAAAATCAATCAATCAATCAATCGATTAATAAGAAAAGTATTGGGACAGGGTTTAGACTTCTGATAAAGTATCTGGATATAAATAAGCGATCCATACACAGAAAACAAAGCATATTCATAGTTTACTATGTGGTTCAGCTTTCATAATCTTTCCATAATCATAATAATATAAATACAAAATTACTAAACAAAAATTCCTACATTATATACTGGGAGGATGAGAGGAGTAAATATGTATGTGGTATAAAGGAGTGGGGGGAATCAGAAAAAATGCTTTATCTTCTATATTAGAAAGTCAACAGATATACTTTAAAATTGAAAATAACAAAAGCAGTGCACAAGCTCTGTAGAAAGAAGAAGGTAAATACTAGAAGAAATAGCTAAAGGAGGGTAAATGGCCCTCGCTGGTGTGGTTCAGTGGACTGAGTGCCAACCTGTGAACCAAAAGGTCACTGGTTCAATTTCTGGTCAGGACACATGCCTGGGTTGTGGGCCAGGTCCCCGGTTAGGGGTATGTGAGTAGCAGCCAATCTGTGTTTCTCTGGCACATCATTGATGTTTCTCTCCCTTTCTCCCTCCCTTCCCCTCTCTCTAAAAATAAATAAATAAAATCTTTAAATAAATAGATAAATAAAAGAGGGTAAATGGTTGCACCCTAGGGAGTGGGAGTCAGGAAGGATGAAAGAAGGAGCAGCTCCTACTCCTGCTGTGTGTGTGTGTGTGTGTGTAAGGATGAAAAAAGGAGCAGCTCCTACTCCTGCTGTGTGTGTGTGCGCGCGCGCACATGCTTGACCTTTGCAGGGGTGTCCAACCTGCAGCCCATGGGCAGCACTCAGCCCAAGATGGCTATGAATGCAGCCCAACACAAAACCGTAAATTTACTTAAAACTTCTTGCTCATTAATTTTTGTTAGTGTTTGTGTATTTAATGTGTGACAACTCTTAAAGATGAAGACAACTCTTCATCTTCCACTGTGGCCCAGAGACACCAAAAGGTTGGACACCCCTGTGAGCCTATATAACCATAAAACTATAATAAAAATTTTTTAAAATCCTGTAAAATTCACACCTTGATATGTTACAGTTAATTTTAGAAACAAATATAAAGAAAATAATATAAACTCTTCTAAAGTAAAAAGAGTGAAAAGCAGGTAACTTACAAAGAAACAAGAATCAGATTGCTATCAATTCTCAACAGCATCTACTTTTCACATGGAGGAATTACTGTTATCTACTGTTATTTTTCAACATGTTAAGGGAAAAAAACTTTGACTCAAGAATTTTAATACAAGAGTATATAAGATATGAGAAATAAAGATATGCTCAGGCATAAAGCCTCAGAGAGTTTTTTACATAAAGCTCTCTTTTGAAAAGACTCTTGGAGAAAGTTCTCCAGCAATAAGAGAAATAAATCTAGAAGAAAACAAGACATGAGCAAGAAGAGTAAATAACTTAGTAAACTGTATTACTGTCTAAAAGGCAACAACCAAATACTGTGTCTGTAACATTTCAGTACTAAAACTAGATGACACTAAAGACAGGGGAGGAGAGTATTGAGGGAAGTGACCAGGTGCCGAAATACTAATATAATTGGGTGGAGGGTGTCTAATGATAAACTTAATAATTTTATGATAAAATAACCATGAATATAAATTTAATACGGTTACTCAGCCCTGGCTCCCCATCTGTCTGCCAATCTTGTTCTTAATACCAGACTGAAAGCTCTTGTCGGACCTCTACCGTGAATTCCTAAATGATCCATGACATCTATCAACACCTGGAACACTCACACACAAAACCACTAATAATTAGAAAACCCCAACCGGGCTAACATTTCTCGGCGTTTTCCTCCCAAGAGGCTCTGGGGCAGGAGTAGCACCTTGGACCTCGCACCTGTAGTTTTGACCTGTTACCTACCAAGGTCTGGAGCCCGGAGCCTACTCTCAGCCATTGAACTTCCCAGCTCAGGACAATCGTCGCCTGAAAAAGGACAAAACAGCTGAACCACCTTCACTAGCCTACGACCTTCCACCATCCCTTCCCCCCGCCTCCCAAATCCTGCATAATCCCCGACGCGGCTACCAAGAACAGCAAGATTCAACTCTATCCCTGCCCACACCGCATCTCCGACTTCCGCGCCACCTTCCAGGCAATTGTCCCCTCAGTACCTCCATCCCCTTTAGATCTCTGTCCACTCGACTCCTGTGATTCCTCCTGGCCCCCCCAGCCTGCCGAGCCTCTGCATCTATCCACTCCCCGATCTCTGTGTCCACTTCCCGATCCCGTTATCCTCTCTCCAATTCTTGGACCCCTCTCCGCTTTCTATCTTACCCCTTCTCCCCTTCCCGGCATCCGTACCCTTTCCCTGCTCCCCCAAATCCTCGGCTCTTTCTCGGCCTCTGTACTCCTTCTTCAAGGCCGCCGTGTTGCATCCGAGGACTCCATGAGCCCCTTCAGGATCCTGAGCCCCGGCAGTTGCTCGGTAACTAGAGTATCATTTTCTAAACGCTCTCCGCCGCGGCTTCGGTTTAAATTTCCTCTCGGCTCCGCCCCTAAAACAACATAACAGTAGTGAGACCGTCCTACGGTGGCCCTAGGAGGACAATATTACTCTATAAATCCTTTTTCCCACCCCCCCTTCGTTTTTTGCTCCTCTTTCTTTTCCGTCTGTTCATTGGCTGGCGATACTTTGAGTCTCAATAGCCAGCAAGCTGGGGATTAGTTTTCGTGATTCTTCACACAGGCTACTTTGAAATCCCTAGGAGTTCGATGATAAATAATAAACATATCACTTAGCCGTCGAGGTTACATGGATATTTTTCATCTTCACAGCATCCACTCCCTCCCTTTCCTCCACTTACCCGTCCAACCAAAAACTTCTCAAAAGAGGAGACTCCCTCATTAGATTTTGATGGTCACCTCTCCACTAGAACTAATTCTAGCCAACCGTGACTTCCGTGGTCCCAAATCCTATGGTCATTTTGTTATCCTGATCCTAGCCGACTTTTAGAATTGAAACAGACTACTCCTCCTTCTTGAAACACTTTGTTCTTTTCGCTTCCATTTCCACCTGTTTTTACCTTATTTTAATGGCTTCTCAATTTCCATCGCTGGATCCAAAGCCTCAGTCTCACCTATAAATGCTGGAGTATGCCAAGGCTTTAGCCCTTAGCTCTTGGCCTTCTCTTCCCTATTATCACTTTCTCCCTCGACGACCTCACCCATCTCCATGGCTTTACACTTCCGCCTTGTGCTAATGCCTGTAGAATTTCTAGCTCAAGTTCTGACCTCTCCCCTCACCTCTAAACACATATACACACGTATATTCAAGTGCCTGCTGGACATTTCCGTTTGGATACCTAATAGGCATCTCAGACTTAACACGATCAAACATCATTTGCTCTGTTCCCTCTCCCCTAAAAAAAAACCCCACCTACTCTCCCAGTCTTCCCCATCTCAGTAAATGTTACATCATTCACTCAGTTGCTCAAACTAAAAACCTGTAAGTTATATTTTAGTACTTTCCCTTATCCCCATGCCCACTCTAGTAAGTTCTACCAACTCCAAAGTACATCTTGAATTAGACCACCACTATCACCCTAGTTCAAGCCATTATAATTTCTTGTCCAAAGTAACTGCATCAATTCCTAACACCACTTCTACTCTTAAGTAGCTTCCTTCCTCTCCCCAATATAACCCTGTCTTCATGCACAACAGAATGTTCCTTAAACACAAGGGTGGAGGTATATACACCACATACACTCAGTATTTCTTCCGGTGGGGCCTCTCCCTGAAGAAGATCATATATCTTAGCCCTTATGAACTAAAGTCTGGCCATGTGACTCGCTTTGGCTGATGAAAAAAAATTGACACATCACTTCCAAGCACAAGTTTTGTTTGTTTTATTTAATTTTAGAGAGAGGGGAAGGGAGGATGAAAGAGAAACATCAATGTGTGGTTGCCTCTCACAGGCCTCCTACTGGGGATCTGGCCTGCAACCCAGGCATGTGCCCTGGCTGAGAATCGAACCTGCACCCCTTTGGTCCACAGGCTGATGCTCAATCCACTGAGCCATACCAGCCAGGGCCACGTGTGATTTTTAAAAGTCTGAATGGTTTACCGAGTTCTTTTCCCTTGTCGCACTGACTGGCAATGTCCTAGCTAGAGGCTGCCCTGTCAACTTTGGTTCCTCTGTGAAGATGACATGGAACAGAACCATGGGTGACCCACAGTGGATTTGTAGCATGAGCAAGAAATAAACCTTGTTGTAAGCTACTCAGATTTTGGCATCATTTGTTACTGTATCATAATTTAGCTCAAAGTTCTCAAAATGTGGCTCAGCTTTTTCAGAAGCTTCCTTAAGGTTAAAACTATTCTTACAATAATACTAAGACATTACTCTCCATTTTTGCTCATTCTCTCATGAATATTAAGTAGAGCAAAAATGAGAATCCAACACTCTTTTGTCAAACCAGATATTAAAGAGATTTCCAGAAACGTAAAACAATGCCATTGTTCAGATTATTTTGGTTTTGGAAAATATATTTTAATTAAAAATGCATTACTTATGTTAATACATAGTGGGCTTATTTTTAAATGAACAAACTAATATTTTGTGCTAATTTTTAATATGGTAAATATCAAATATGATTTTATTGTATAAATACATATACATATATAAAATATGTTTATATTTATAAATATAGATTTAAGAATACCCACACTGTCGTAGCCAGTGTCCAAGATGACTTGCAATGGCCCTCAATTTCTGCCCACATCAAATAGGGCTATGGGTCAATAGAATAATGAGGAAATGACAATGTGTGACTTTTGTGGCTGAGTCAAAAAAGACGTTTCAACATTTGTATTGCTATTTCTTGGGTGGCCTGCTGTGGGGGAGGCCAGCTTTCATGACATGAGGACACTGAGGAACGCCTGTGGAGACAAACAGGCTTTTTCCAGTGACTGAGCCACCCTGCAAGCCTTCGTCTAGTCAAGTTTTCAGACGACTGTAGCCTCACGGGATCCCAAACCAGAAAATCCCCAGCCAAGCTGCTCCCCAATTCCAGGCCCACCGAAAGAAACCCAGAGAAAAATAAATACTTAGTGTTGTTTTAAGTCATTACATTTCGGGGTAATTTGTATACAGCAATAGATAACTAATATACACATAAACAAAAACGCTGTTTGGGGTCCTTGATTTTTAAAAATGAAAAAGGCCCTGAAACCAAAACTTTCAGAATTCCTAACCTAGCCTATTCTGATTGATACAAAAACAATCAAATCAAGTTACCCTCCCTTTCATGAACTCCCAATGGCTTTCCCTGTTTGTGTTTCTGACCAAACTTCTCTGTGTCTTGAACAAGTCAAGCTCATTCCTGCCTCAGAACCTTTGCATTAACAGTTCCATTTCCCAGGTCTCTTTCCTTTCAGACACCAGATCAAATCTCACTTTTTCAGATATGACTTCTGCAACCACCCAAGCTAACAGTAGCTACCCCGTTCTTTACCAGGTACTCCACTTTGGTTTATTTCCTTCACAGCACTTACCATAATCAGAAAGTATCTTACTTCTCTACTTGTTTAAAAAAATTTTTTTAATTGAATGTATTGGGGTGACATTGGTTAAAAACACTATATGTTTCAGGGGTACAATTCTGTAGTACCTCATCTGTGTATTGTATTGATGTTCACCACCCCGAGGCAAGTCTCCTTCCATCTCCATTTACTCCTCTTTACTTTCCCCTACCTCCCCCACCCCCTTTTCCTCTGGTAATTACCATACTGTTGTCGGTCTATGAAGTGCTTCTTTACTTATTTATTGTCCGTTTCCGTTCCCACCCCCACCCCAGAATGTAAGCCTATAACAAGGACCTTTTCTGTTTTATTCACTGCTGTATCCCCAAAGTAAAAAACATAGTAGGTGCTTAGTGATTATTTGTTGAATGAATGAACGAATCTCTCTGATTTTCAGTTTTTCCATTTGTAAAATGAAGATAATATTGCCCTGACTGGTGTGGCTCAGTGTGCTGAGCATTGTCCTGCAAACTGAAAGGTCACAGGTTGATTCCTGGTCAGGGCACATGCCTGGGTTTCAGGCCAGTTCCCCAGTTGGGGTCATTTGAAGGGCAACCAAATGATGTTTCTCTCCCTCTCTTTCTCCCTCCCTTCCCCTCTCTCTAAAATAAAGAAATAAAATCTTTTAAAAAGTGAAGATAATATTATGTACCAGACAGTGAAATTTTAAAGATTAAAGATGCAAAGCCATTGCCAGAAAAAGGTAGCTTTTACTATGAGGCAGAAAATATTTTGAGATAATAATTCAGAATTTTCTTCCTTACCATTTTTCTTGATTCCTGAAGGGAAGTGCTTAGAATTAAAAAAAAAAAAGATCAGCTCATATCACAGAACAAGGGCAAATTTTCTTTGAAATCTGTACAAAGAGATACAGAAAAGACCAACAACTCCATTGAAAATGGATATGGGAACATTCACAGAAAAGGAAATAGAAAGAGCATTCAAATATGCTCAACCCCACTTAAGAGAAATGCAAATTAAATCTACACCAAAATACCATTTTTTACTTAACAGACTGGCAAAGATCAATTTCTCTAGATAGTGCCAGATTGACTTACAAAGGGGTTGTATCAGCCTCCTATATAAGGCAATTTGGCGCTATCTAGCAAAATTATAAATGTACATATCTTTCCACCCAGCAGCCTCCTTTCTAGGAGTTATTCTACAGATATACTCACACATATGTGATATGAATTATGTAATAAACGTATCTACTCTAGCACTGCAGTATCCACCAGTCATATGGTGATTTGTCAGAGATATACCTATGAAATAATGACACAGAAAAGTTGACAGAAAAGGGATGCGTACAATATTTATTTTATTTTACAAATATATATGGAATGTTTTTTGTGATGTTAAAAATAGTCGTTTAATCCTCATGACGATCCTATGTGGTACATAGTAACTATGCCCTTTTTAGAGTTATCTACACCTTTTTTAAGCCTAATGATGAACATACTAGTTTGTTATATTGGTTCACATATGTAATTCATAAGTAAATACATATTCATACATTGGGATACATGGTGAAAATATTTTTACTGCTAAGATTATTTGGCAAAATGATATTCAATGCTCACCAGCCTACAGAAACTTTCCCCCAGGTGAGCAAGGAGATGAATGTAAGAATGTGAATTAAAGCACTGCTTAGAAAACTGGGGAAAAAAACTTTAATGTGCATCAGCAGAGGAATGGATCAAATGGGGCATAACTGAGCAAAGAAATACAACAAGTGGTTTAAATGAATGGATAAGAGCTAAATGTATCAACATGGGTAAATATTTTAAACAAATCTTAAGTGGAAAAAGCACACTGCAGAATGAAAAGTCCAACATGCAAAACAGTGTGATATATTGTTTATGGATACATACACATGGATGGAGATATATATCTATATATATATATAATATTTCAATACATTCAAAAGAAAGATAAACACCAAATTCAGAAATGGTGGTTACCTCTAGGGAGAGAGGGAAGAAAATGAGATTGGAGGAAAGGCTTCAAGAAGGCTTTCCTTCTTTAACACAAACAAGAAAGGATGCAAGGTAAATATATATAGCTCATAATTTTTAAATGAGATATTTTAAAACTAGTCTCCCTGAGTTCTCCACCTCAGTGACAACCATCCTCACACCCCTTGTGTATCTTCCCAGAGATATATATTATATTATGCACATGCAAGGACACATAGGTATATGTATTGCCCCTGGCCTATATTTTAAAACACAAATGGCAGCAAACATTACATACACTCTGAGCCTCATTTTTGTCTTTAACAATGTATGTTATATTTTGTTTCACATCAGTATATAAGGACTTCCATGTTTACAGATGCAAAATACAGGGTGGGGAAAAAGTAGGTTTACAGTTGTGAGTACGGGAAACAGCTTATTCTTGTATTATTATTTTCCATATGAATAGCTGTAAACCTACTTTTGCCCCACTCTGTACTGCTCTCTGTGGCTTTTTTAGCCAGTCTCCTATAGCTAGAAGGTAGAAATATCTGTCCTTTCACTACAATAAGCATCACTGCAATGAATATCCTTATAATACATACATCCACACAAATCTATGTATTTTAATAAATTCACAGAGGTATAAATGCTGAGTCTTTTCAAATTGCTCTCCAACAAGGTTATATTGATTTACTTCCTCTTCCAACATTTCTCTATGTACTTTTTGAGCTGAGAAGTAAAAATGGTACCCCATCAAAAATGTAATTTGCATATTTTAAAAATTATAAACGTGACAGCATCTTTTTATAGTGTAAAAAGCTATTTTGATTTTTTCTGTGAGCTTTCTGTCATTTTTCCAGTTGTATGAATTTTTTTGAATCATGAGCAATTATTTTTGTAATAAAATATTCAATGAGGATATATATATTTTTTAAGACAGGGGCTGGAGAGCCTTCAATCAGTTTTGGGTAAAGCTTGCAATGCTTTTAAAAAAATCTTTGTACATTGTACCAATATCAATTTCTGATTTTGATATTGTGCTATAGTTATGTAAGATGTTACCATTGTGGGAAACTGGGGGAAGGTACACTGGTCTCTATGTACTATTTTTGCAACTTCCAGTGAGTTTGTAATTATTTCAAAATCAAAAGTAAAAAACCCCAAAAACCTAAACTAAAAATTCTGTGCAACTTTCATAGTTGTGGAGACTCTGCATCCACCTCCTCTATGATCCTTATGCTATGATGGTTCCCATGTGTGTCAGCTGACAAGCCCCACTGGCAGAACCGACACTGGGTTAGCAGATGCACCTGAGAACTTGAAACGTGGTTAGTCTTTAGGGACTGACTCGGGCTTCTTACTGTATTACTGTCACATTCTAACTCAGTGAGTACACAGAAGTCATGGGGCTAATATTCACACTATCCTGTATTTTCTTTCTTTTTTAAGATAATTTTTCTGAGTTCATTTGAGCCAAAACTGACAATGCCAGGAAGCAGATCTTAAATGCTCCCTCCTGTATCCCTCCTGTATTTCTACAGCATGGAGCTGTAGTGTTCCATGTCCTTTCATTTACATTATCCCCATGATAATGCGGGTGAAGAACTCCCTCAAGAGGCCCTTTGCGAGGTATACAGGCCCCTCCCTTTCTTTTTGTCATCCCCTAAATATCATCTATCCGAACTCCGTTGCTCAGCCATATCCGATTCTCTGGAGGCCGCCTGAAAAACTTTTGTACACAGCTCCGTGCATCTGGATCTGCTTCCTTTCTCTTCCAGTCTTTTAGCTTAAAAACTCTTACTTATTCTTCAAAAAAGTGTAAGCATCATCTCCCATCGCCAATAGGAAGCCTTTCTGGATCCCTCACTTTCACAGCTTCCAACTCCACTCCAACAGGCAAATTGAACCTAATCTGCTTCTACGTATCTTACTGCAACCTCTACTAGAAAAGGTTCCATTCACACATTTATCCCACTATATTGTCATTATTAGTTTAAACATGCCGGTTCCCACTGGACTGAAGAACATTTGACGGCAGAGATTTTTGATACCTATTTCTGTATTTTCATTGCCTACGAGCAATGGCATGCCGTGGATAATCAATAAATACTTAGTGAATGGAGTCACGCCACTGACTTGCCAACCTCCACTGTAGCTCAGGGAAAGCCAACCCAGGTTCTTGGGTAATCCTTTTCAGCCCAGAGCCAGGTGTTTTGCAGTTAGCAGAGGACCTGGCTGCTGTCCTCAAGCTCCTGCCTCTGGTGAGGTTCCCTGTTGCTGTGCATGTTTCCTTATTCAATTAGGTGGACAATAAAAGCATCTCCTTACAGGGTTGTTGGAAAAATTACAAGAGCTAATACATCAAAAACTCTTAGCACATTGTCTAGCAAAGGATAAAGAAGGCTCCTCAAAGATACACCTGTGTAATGTTGAATGAGTGGAGGAAACAACCTGAGATTGCCTGTTTACTTACTGAGCACCTACTACCTATGCGTTGGGTTGTGCGTTAAATACACCCTGCTAGGTGCAGAGAAGCAATCGCAACACATGGAGTGGTCTTAACACGGATGACAGGGAATCAGGGAAGGTTTCCGGAAATTGGAGTATTGTTAGGGGAGGAGCTCGGAAAGGTGAGTACTCCAGAGAGTGAGCAGGTTCCTGCTTGAAACCTGTGTGGGGGTGTGCACTGAAAGGGCAGCTCGATGAGGTGGGCCGAAGCGCTAGAATCCGAGTTGAGTTCCAGTCCTGTTTGGCTATTTGCCGCGTGACTTTGGCCACATTACTGAACCTCTCTGAACTTTCCCAACTGTAAAAAGAGTCGGCCAGGATTCTTGTGAGACCACGTGACCGAGCGGCTGCCAAGATGCGCTCAATTTAGAAGTTACAAATACCAAGCAGATTTATAAAGGTCTTCGGAGTTCTACGTCCTCGGCGCCTGGGCGTGAGTTTCCTCTCTGAGCTTGCGCAGTGGGTCCGCGGCGCAGCCCATCAGGCATTGCGGTAGGCGCCCTAGGGGCTGGCAGGACCCTGACCCCAAGATGGCGGCGCCCAGTGAAGTGGATGCACCTTCCTCTGGCGAAGCCGATGGCGGGGGCTGCAGCTTTGGATCGTGGCTAGATGGACGGTTGGAGGCACTGGGAGTGGACCGAGCTGTTTATGGTGCCTACATTCTGGGTGTTCTGCAGGAGGAGGAGGAAGAAGAGAAGCTGGACGCTCTGCAGGGTATTCTCTCTGCTTTTCTGGTGAGAAGCCTGAACTAATTTCTTCAGCCTCTTGCCAACCAGCCCCTGCCAATACTTTGTATCCTTGTTCCCCTACTCAGTGTCCTAGAGGATTAATGATCTCACTTGGGAGAGGAATACTCTTCTGAGTTCTGGGACGTGGGGAAGGGGAACCAGAAAGGTTGTAATGCATGGAGAGGAATGGCTTTCCCTTATTCTTGGGGAAAAGTCTCTCTCGGATACCTGTGGGTGAGTATTCTTCGAATGGCGTTGAAATATCTAAGTGAGAGTTTTATCATAAACTTCTAACGACCAATTTCATTCCCATCCGTTGACAGTGTTCAGAGGAGGGAATAAAGTGTTCTGGGATGTCTGTGTCCTTTAAGAGGCAGTGCCCAGGACTGTCCCATGACAAAAGCTTCTCGGTTCTATTTTGGAGGTAGGAGTCCAAAAAAGGTGAGCTCGCTTTAGAGGCCTTTTCATGCCTGGGCTGAACTGAAGCAAATATTGTGCTTTTTCCTTTGTAAGTATTTAGAAATACAGTAGTTGTTGTGTATGTATGTGTGTGGGGTCGAGTAGGAGTAAAAATAAGAGATCAGAGTTTTTAAGAAGAAAAATAAACTTAGCACTTAGTCTCCTAGAGTCAGAGTCAAGAATTCAGAAATGTGTACTTTAATCTGTGTTTAAGTAGTAAGTCACCAAATTGTCTGCTTTTCCTGGTCATCTTTGCTGCCTTCATTTCCACTAACACTTGGTGAAAGTGTAGTTTATTAATTGGGCACATTGTTGAAATATAACACTAGTGTAGCTGTCCCAGGACATCCTGGCAAGGGCCCCCATAGCGTGCTCTGGTGAGATTGACTTGTATTTGGGAAAGCCTTAACACAGCTTGTGATGCAGCTTACAAGTTTAGTGGAAATACAACACAGTGGAAAAAATTATTTTCCTTAGATCCTGACATTGTAGGATGTAGAGGGAAGAAGTAGGAGGCAAGCAATTTAGGTTAGTTTTTATTTTCAGCTAGGAAGTTTCTAAAGACTGAAAAAGAAGTTGAAGTAACTTAGGTACCCACTGGTACCAATTCCTTGACCTGCTTTTTTGATGGTGTCAGTATTTGGAACTATATGCCTCTTGATAAAGACGGGCATGAATTTGCCTTAGACTGTAACAGTCTCTTGGCATGAAAGGGATAAACTTTAGGGAACATACTGAGTTGAGTATATTGGCTAAAGAAGATTTCACTGAGAAGGGTTTTGACTTAGGTCATAGGTTTTTGCTCCAAAAAAATGAGGAAAACGGCCCTGAGTTGGTGGGAGTACTTTTCCCTGGATCTTGGCAGGATGGAGTAGGTGCCCTTGATCTAGCAGGTGTGGATTCTGGAACTCACACACAGGATCACTTCTGTGTCCAGAGCCTCAGAAGAGAAACATACTCTGTTCTGTGGCTCCCAAGCCCTCCTTGTGGTTTCTTCTCATCACCATCTGTGCTCTCTGCATAGGCTTTGTTAACATTGAGAGTTCTCTAGGAAATTAATTCATTGGTCTATTTTTCCAACCAGGAAGAAGATTCCCTCCTTAGCATCTGCAAGGAGATTGTGGAACGGTGGTCGGAAACTCAGAATGTTGTCACCAAAGTGAAAAGAGAAGGTAGAGTTGGAGTTCTGATGTCTAACCTCCATTGCCTTTTCCAATAACCTTTACTATACAGCTGTCAGGGAGTTTTTAGTTTTTTGTTTTTGTTTTTTGTTTTTTTTTTTGTCGAATGTTCATTTTCTCTATGATAATTTAAACTGGCAAACACCCAGCATCTTTAACTTTTTAACTGAATGTTGGTTTCCTTTTTCCTGTTCTACTTATTCACTTCAGCTGACCACAGTTATCTACATTGTGGTTTTTGCTTTTTTCTTTTTCATCCTCTTTCCACTGCCCCTTATAGATTTGTATTACAGGTATAGGGTCAACTATATTTTCTCACCTTCTGCCTTTTTTATATTCTCACTTTATAACAAATTGTAATTGGTCTTTTGCTTCATTCAGCCAAACCTTTTACCTTTTAAAATGAAAAAGAAGTAAGTGAATATACTCATCATTAGGATGCAGAAAACTCAAATCATTAAAGATTTGAATTTATTCTAAACTATCGACACTGATAGTTCTCAGTCTTGGCTGTTTTTTAGCATTATTTGATTTACTATTAAAAATGCTAATGCCTCGGCCACACCATGGATCAATTATGTAAATATCTTTGGGGTTGAGGCCCAGGTTTTGGCGAGGCCCAGGTGGCTCAGTTAGTTGGAGCATCGTCCTGTACACCAGAAGGTGTGGGTTCAATCCCTGGTCAGGGTGCATACAGGAAGCAACTGATTGATCTTTCTCTCTCTCTCTTTCAAGCCAATAAACATATCCTTGGGTGAGAATTGGAAAAAAAAACAAAACACAAAAAACAAAAGGAACCTCCCCCAGGTGATTCTAATGTGCAGCCAGGCATGAGAACCACTACCTGACACTATTGCCGCCCTCTTTGAGATTGGAGAATAGCTGATTTTTAAAAAATAATCTAAGACTTTCACCTGGCATAATTATCAACACGAAAGGGACCAGCTTAAGTTGATTCTAGATTCCTTCTTAGGTTTCTGGGTTGAGAGGGGAGAAAGCTGTATGTTTGGAGGTTTAATTTGCTACAGTTCTAATGCAGTGCTTTTCAACCTCTTTTTTTTAAAGCAGCGGAACTTCACTATATAAAACAAGTAAAAGCAGGGCTGCTCTGATTGAAGACGGATACAAGACCTAGAGCCTGGCCTGCATGGCCTTTCCTTGCCTTTCTCGTTGGTACCTCCTTTGAACCCCAGGGCTCTAAGGAGTCAGCAGATGCCATTGCCTTTACTCCAAACACTGCCTGGGTGGACTAGTGGTTCGGTGAGCTTGATTTTTCTCACATACAACCTTGTTATCCCTCTCTCCCCTTCCACTGCCTCCCAGATGAGGTACAGGCCATTGCTACCCTAATTGAGAAACAGGCACAGATTGTGGTGAAGCCCAGGATGGTGTCAGAAGAGGAGAAGCAGAGAAAAGCTGCCCTCCTGGCCCAGTATGCTGATGTGACAGATGAAGAGGAATATCCTTTTCAGAGTCTCAGCTCCATTTCCTGAGGCTCAAGCCAGAAGCATTTGCTGGTTTACAGTGAGCTTTGGGAAGTTGCCAATCCCCCTCTGCAGCTTAATTTTCTCTGAAATGGCAGTGACCTGTGGCCCTTTGTGGGTGTGAGGAATGAAGTTGGAATAGTTGAAACTGGACTTAACCATTAACCACTTTTCAGCACATAATCAAGAACGATCCTGAAAACTTCCGTATAAAACATAATGCCTTAATGGACCATTTACATTATGTTTTTAGAATATAAGGTATAGCTGTGATTCTTTACCTTTCTATGCAGTGCTGTGTCACATATAATGCATCTTTATATCCTTTCCCAGTTGATAAGGTAATTGATACAAATTAAGAGATGAACCAGTAATTAGAAACATTCATATAGTTAGCAGCAAAACCAGGCTTAGAACTAGGGTACTTTTGGGTGAAGGATTCCCAAATTTGGAGTTTTGTTTGAGTCTTTAAAAAAAAATATTCCAGTGACCAACCATGTAATTAAAAGTGAGACTGAACCACCAAATAACACCAGATAAATCTGGAATTTGAGTGGGGACTGTAAAAAAAAAGTGTTGCTGGTAGGAGCAGGTTTGGTTCCTTGTGACTTTGACATTTGTTTAAGAAATTCTTAGTATACTGAGCCCTCTTGAATAGAGTAGACATACCAGAAATGTCAGCTATCTAACCATGAGTGCAGGAAAGGATTCTTAGGAGCTTTTCGGCCAACTTTACTTCTAAGTTTTCCTCATGACTTTTCGTGCCAGGGTTGGCAGAGTTATGGTTCCAATTACAGACTCTCATTTCTTGGGCTCAAAAAGAGTGTTTTAAGCAGTAGTTCTTTGAGGGACTTGTTAAAATACAGATTGCTGGGCTTTACCTCCCAGAGGTTTCTGATGTAGTAGATCCAGGATGAGACTCAAGAATGTGCATTTCTAACATGTTCCCAGGGTGTTCTGGAATCCACACTTTGAGAACCAGTGTTGTAGAGGTCATCTCACCACCCCCGGGCTTCAGGTAATGTGGCGGTCCCCCAGTCCGGCTTCCCTTTCTTTTTAGCCTCCAGGAGGTAAGGATCTTTCAGAAGCTCTGGGCAATCTTCCCGATGCTGAGACTTAAAGATGACACTCCTGGGTTTACTGCCACATCCCTGACAGTGTCTATTCATTGTGCCTTTCCTACCCATCGATCTATTAAATGTTTTCCGATGTTGGGTTTGGATGCGCTAACTTTGTCTTCCGTCCGACTTTCCTTAACATCGCTTACCGAAGCAGATGAGAAGGATGATTCAGGCGCCACCACAATGAGCATTGGTTCTGACAAATGTATCCTTCTCTGTGTCCATCCCCATGTGCTTCTCCACAGAGTCCTCTGGAGGATAGGGGTTCTTTTGCTGTTATTGCTGCAGGCTCCTTTTACCTCCAGGAACTCATGTGAGGCCAGCATTGCAAGTCCCATTTCTAGGACAGCCCTGCGTGGCCAATTTAGTAAGAACTTTCCCCAAAGAAGACATGTTAACATGTACTGTAAAGGGGTTAGCTTGGAGGAAAGACTTCTAAGGGAAAATAAAAATCCGTACTCTGTATATATCACTGAGGTTTCCCAGCACTGTGGAGACAATTGAAATAGTACTGAAGTTTTGTTTTTTGTCCTCAAAGACGTTACAGTTTGTTGGAAAGAGAACACAAACACTAAATACTTTCAAGCTAAAAATACAGGGGTGGGCAAAAGTAGGTTTACAGTTGTTAGTACACAAGACAGTTTATTGTATTATTATTAATTATTATATTATTTGGATTACAACTGTGAATGTACATTTGCCCACCCCTGTATGGACAGACTGCGACACACATGCTGAGGAAAGTCCCTTTCAACAGAATCACTTAGGGGTAGCTTCCTAGAAAAAGTGGATTTAGAAATCCCCCTTCATAAAGGTGAGAAATATGGTGGATTATCTGGGGGAGATGGGAATTTCAGGAACATATTTTAAAGCACTGAAGCAGAAGAGAGTTATGTTTTAAGAGTAGAGAGGAGCTTATTTGGTAGTAACAGGTTATATTTTTAAAGTCTGAAGAAATGAGGTGAAGTTTTTGGCTGAGTATTTTTCTGACTGGCTAAACTTACTATTTGATAAATTCAGAGTTTGTTGTTACTAGAACATGGTTTCCTGAAAGCTTTAGTGATCTGGGTAAACAAATTGATATAGTAAGATTAAGCAAATTATTTTACTCTTTCAAGCATTTTAACAGTGCCAAGTACCTAAAAATTTTGCCAGTTACATGAATACTCTGTTCACTAAAGCTAGGATAGCTACTCCAACAATATTCTACCATTGAATGATATAAACACTTACTCTAGAATGAAGTTTTATTTTCATATTTAGACAAGTCTGAATGAGATTTTTATTCTGAGAGTTAATTTTTAACTTGTATAATGGTAGTTTTAAGATTTCCCATTAGACCAAAGATAAACAAGGATTTTTTTTTTTTTAAATTAGGAATAGATAGAGACTCAGCATGTAGAGATTGGACAGCAAGAATGAAGACAGAGAGCAGTAGCTGGGCCTGTGTGACTTACCTCTACCCCAGTCCCTTAACTCATTGTAGTTCTGTTCCGAAATACCAATGTGGAAGATGTCCTCAATGCCCGAAAACTGGAGCGAGACTTGCTTCGGGATGAGTCCCAAAGGAAGAAGGAACAGGACAAGCTGCAGAGGGAGAAGGACAAACTAGCCAAGCAGGAGCGCAAGGAGAAGGAAAAGAAAAGGACACAAAGAGGGGAACGAAAGCGATAACCTTGGTCAACCCTGTGCTTTCTCTTCGTGAACTGATCAAAGGGAGAAGTGGTTGTGCAAATGTGTATTTAGGAGAAATGAGAGAACATTGCAAAGTGGTTTCCCAAGGCATTTCCCTTTTAGTTTACGTGGTTAAACGGAAAATCACAAACACCTCTAATTACAAAATGTGCCATGTCTCTGTTGCGTGAGTAATCAAATTGTTGTAGTTGATACCTGTACCAAAGATCTGGAATGGGGGCAACCTTTATATTTTAGTACTGAAGTCCTGAGCTGCTTTTGGCCACTTCAAAAGTCTTCCCTCACCTTGGATAAACAGGAATATTCTGAAGGAACAGTCTCATGAGCACTCCTTCCCTGAGATGAAATGAGGAGTGTAAATTGCTTCAGAAGTACTATTCACCCCTAAATGTATTGTTTTAAGACTCAAATAGAAAGTGAATGAAGAGCCCTACCTGGATCCAGATTCTATGTTACATGGCAACACACTAGGAAACTGAGAAGTTATTTGATGGATATTGTAGATTTGAGAACTTCAAAAAAAAAAAAAAAAATCAGCCTATGGGAGGAAAGGAAGTATCTTTTTAACATAGAGATAGTTACATTTTTCCTTATTTAGGATGGGATTTTAAGAAGGATGTGTCAGTATTGTGTGCAAGGATATCACTGTTAGATTCCTCTGATTGCTAGTAGAGATTTTAATCCTTGTTTGCCCCAAAACATTAAGTATAAAGACCTGATAATTACAGGTTTAGAGAAAGTGGAGAAACCACCTTTTAAGGAAGAAACACTGGAAATCTCTGCTAACACAAAGATATTTAAGAGTGTACATAGTAGGTGCTCAACAAATTGAATGGGTGAGTGAATGGGAAATTTGCTTGGGAGAGTCAAAAGTGAGCAGGAACTCTCCATTTCTACCTTTGTTACAAGTACATTCAATTTTTAAATAAGTCCTTTTCTTCAGGCAGCAGACTGTCAAGAAGCCTGAAGAGAGCAATTTCTCCGACAAGATAAAGTTGATATTTTATACCAGGGGTCAGGAAATTACTGCCTGAAAGACAAACATGACCCAGTCTGTTTTTATGTGGTACAAGCTAACAATGAATTTTACGTTTTTAATGGATTGTTAAAGATCATGACAGAGACCTTATATGGCTTGTAAAGCCTAAAATATTTATTACCTGGCCCTTTGGAGAAAAAGTTTGCTGACCTCTGTTTTATACCATTGAGATTAACAAAAGTTTTAACCTTTGTGCAGAAGGTGAAAAGAAGCATGGTTAAGGAAAAAAATGTGTTACCTCTATACACTCCTATAACCGTGGCATTGGCAAAATTTTAAACAAAACCACCTTTTTAAAAAATAAACTATTTAAATCAGTGTCTTCTGATTTACTTTGATTCCTTCTAGTTACCTATGGAAATGAATTATATGTGGAGAGTTGCTTAGCAATGTGTTGAATTTTACTTTATGCTTTGTTTCGCTTAGCCCTAATAATCTCTTCTACCAGTAGAACTTCTTCCTGAAATCCATAAATTGCCTGCCTCAGTTTTCCTTTCTGTGAGGTTGAGTATTAGATTAGAAAGATTACCTTGTTTTTTGGAAAGTCAGTAAATTGGTTTTGAAGTATCGTTGGAGTCTTAGAGTTTTATTATGTGGCTGTAGCAATAGTCTGTGTCTATAGATAGCATATGAGAGAGTATTTTAATTTAGTAAAATCCTTATTAGGATTTTTAGTTTATTCTCACCTGATTTGGGTCTCTGAAGCAGAGTTGGGTTATATCCATGGACCCCTGAAGAGTGCTTGTTTTAATCTGCTATAACAGTCAAATTTTTCTTCTGGGACTCTATTATGTGTGTTAAGTGCACACTTGAGTTAGTGTTTAAGCAGAAAAAAGAATCAACTAATTAGGCTTTGAGAAAGGTTATTTACTTAATTCAGGTGCTACTAAATCCTTTTCATCTAAAATGTTCAATACTGCAAAGGGCAAATTTTAAACAACCATATCACACATGGTATAATTGATACTTTAGGCCAAACTTGAGATTTCAGTCATAACATTAATTCCCAACCTAAAACTTTACAGGAACAGGTTATTCAAATGGGAAGAACATTGATAAATTCAAGGTAGTTTTCAACCACTTTTACATAAAGTGCTTTTTATTTTTTGGAGTACGCCAAATTATTTTGGATTAGAAATGATGGAAGCATTAGTTTTATCAGTTTCACTTCAAGTCTTGTGTGATGTTAAGTTTATATTGTTTTCATAGGTTGTAATTCAGAAGTACAATACATAAGAACCACCCATTAGAGTGTATTCTGTAGAAAGGGACAACCAACTGACTGGAGAATTATGTACAGGGTGACACAATTAACAATTTCAAAGAATTTCTGTGTTTGGTTTTTGTTGTGTTTGGTTTTTGTTGATGGACTAATATTTCATTTCTGACCACTGTCATGTAAAAGCTTCCCCAGAATTTTTACCCTAGCTTGCCTGGATTAGCATAAAGGCAGAGAAAATTCATTTTTGAAGGAGTAAGTTTAGATCCAAGGATATCTGGCACTGTTTTGTCCACCAATGTTGTTATGTGTTAATGAAATGTAAAACTCAGCACCAGTTTTTATCAGTTAAATGAAATTTGATCGATTTTCTACCATGTAAAAATTGAAACCAGGTATTTTCAACAAAATAATTTATTTTTTTGAGAGACTAAATTAGTACAATATTTGTTTTTTTATAACATCCAACATGTCTTATGTCAAACTTAACTACTTTCTATGCAGTGACTGTGGTGGGGTGATCAATTTTATTTGACTACCTTCAATGTAATTCATTTGGTAGTTCTAAGGCATATCAGTGATCAAAATGTTTCTCCCCACAGTTACTCCTGAATTCTCAATCAGTTTCTTCCGCACATCATCTAAAGAAAATTTATGTGGTGTGATTACACTCTTTTTTTTATACCAGGATTTCTAAAACTAGGAAAAACACCAACATTTAAAACATCAGTGTTTATAGTCAAGGATAGTTCAATTAAATTTCATAAGTACATTATATCATAGTTTAACTCATGCTAGAAATGTTAAAACCCAAGATCTGAGTCACATAATATCAACATTTCATATTAATGAATAAATTACTTGGGTTCCATACAAAGATATTAAGTGATGAGAAACAGAAAAAGCCAAGCTTTCAAGAGCACTTAAAAAAATACAGAAGCAAACTAATGAACACAACTACACAAAATATACACTAACCAATTGCAAACTAAACTAAAGATTAACCTTTAAAAAATACATTTTAAAACTTCGTGATACCCTCATAAAAGGCAGCAAACTAAGGGTATTAAGACAATAGTCATTATTTTAGTTACTGTTCATCAAATCTAAAAGATCCAGATAAAGGAAATGTTTTGTTTCAAATCAATTTAAATACTTTAAAATTGGAAATATTTAATAATTGATAGTATAATTAAATTTTAAGAATATACACAAATGATTTGAACAGGTTTTATATTCAGTAACTCGCATGGTTTTTACACTGGCACTTTTATCACTAATTTAGGAGAATCAGATGCATTTCCCTCCTTAAACTTAGGCACTAAGATTTCAAATTATAAATATGGTAGTATTTTAAATACTAAAATTTTACATGAATATTGGGTTCATTCTTGCTTTCCTTTGTTTCCTAGGTATTATCCAGTTTTGTAAGGAAAACACTTTTATATCACAATCAAAACTTGTCTTGGTTACTAGACTGTAGCCATAATTGGGTTACAGTCATTTAGATTCATTATTTGGAATTATACTTACTAAGGCAGACCTAAATTAAACTTATCTTCTAGAAGAACTTCACATTTGTATTTACCTGCACTGCAGAATGGGTTTAAGCAACATTTTAGCTGTTAGGAAATATTTAATTTATTTAAACTTATTGTTGACTACTCTGAACTCCTAGAGTGGTCAACTTTAACTGAGTTCACTTTAAACTATATCTGATTCATTCTAAATAGATTTTTAAATAGAAGTTAGACTTCATTAAGGTATTAACTCTAAATCTCAAAGAAAATGCATTGAAATTTTCAAGTATGACAAGTTCATTAAAATTGTTGAGCATGTCTTGATACATATACTTATCAGCTTTTCTTTCTGCTTGCATTTCCTTAATGTTTGTTTGCATCACCTCTCTGGTTCATTGGATTGCTACTATTTATGCTTTCACGGACTTTATCTTCACAGTTTACTATATCTTGTAAAGCCTTTTCCACATCTGTTTGGCCCCCTGTATTGGCCGTTTTTGGCAAGGTCATCTGCAGTGCACACCATAGAGTAGTGCGTGCCTTCCGAGTAGCCACACACATCTCTTTAATTGCTGAAGCAAGGGCAAAAACATCTGTAAAGGAAATATTCAGAGCCAGTTCACATTAGATACCATTAAAGTTTCCCTTAACTCTTAAAGCCCAGTGCTGTGCTGCTAAATGACCAAACATCATTTTTATAAAAGAAGGATGGGTATTGACTGAGCTAATCAAAGTTCTTAGCATTTAAAAGTGTTGACACTTTATTTCTGACCTGTAAGATGCCTATGCTTTGGGTAGAACACAGACTTTGATGGAATTATAATTAAGTAGATAAAGTTAACAAAATAGAACAAGGTACTTTTGGAATAGAATATGTGGGCATCATTTACCAATTTATTCTTTAGATAAGTATAAATCTTAGCAATCCAACCTCTTTAGAACCTGATTTTATTAACATTCAAACTATCGCATTGCATTATCAAAAGGATATGCAGCCCTGACCCACATGGCTCAGTTGGTTGGCCGTCATTCTGCAAAGTGACTGGCCACTAGTTCAATTACCGGTCAGAGCACATGCCTGTTCTGGGTTACGGGTTTGGCCCCAACTTGGGGTGCATAGGGAAGGCGGCCAGTACAGAAGGCAGCCAAATGATGTTTCTCTTGTATTGATGTTTCTATCCCTCTCCTCTCTTTCTTCCTCACTTCCTCTCTCAAAATTAAAATAAAAATAAAAAGAATATGCATTAACATTTGTACCTCTGTCATCTTGGCATCTAGGAACTCCTTGCTTTTGCCGATTTGAAGCATTAACAATTTCATCCTTTCTGCGTGACTGTACAATGTGAATGGACTCCAAGTGTCTATCAAGAGCAGTAGAGATATTGGCATGAAGGGGAGAGCTTCGAAGCCGCTCCATTTTGCCTAGTAAAGTTACAACCTGAGGGAAAGATTTTAAATTTTGATAAGGCATGCAACCACACTGCCTGTCATTAGCTTCTGTAAAAACAAATCTTCAATGAAGCAGAAAGCAATAATAGTCAAATAATTGAATGCTTACTGTGACCTGACACCATGTTGGGGGAAACAAAAATAGAAAGTCTACTGTACCTTTTTAATTTTTTTTTGATGGAGAGAAAGGGGAAGTAGGGAGAGAGAAACATCAATTTTGTTGTTTCACTTATTTATGCATTCACTGGTTACTTCTTGTAGGTGCCCTGACAGGAGATTGAATCCGCAACCTTGGCATGTCTGGATGATGCTCTAACCAACTGAGCTATCAGGCTGGGAGGCGGGGAGGGATGGGGCGTACCCAAAAAGAAAAAAACAGAATTATCTTCAGGAGGGTGGGCCCCTTGTAGTATAGGCTTTTCCTGCTAGGTTAGTGTTCTAGGAACCCGTCTGTATCAGTGTACCAGTCGGTGGTGGCATGTGGCCTCAGAGAATTTTTTTTGAAGACCCGCAGTGCATTTGCCCATTTCATGATGGGCGATTTACCATACCACGCTAAGTGTTCAGCAGTTTTAGATCAAAAATGGCATAACCCCCATGCTCCACCCTCCCTGTTCATCCAATCTCAAAGAGAAATGTTTTGCCAATGGGAAAGAGGTGGAACAAAAAGCAGCAGAAGCACTAAAAGTTATCAAAATTGATGAGTTCAAAAACTGGTTGGAGCAGTGGAAAAAGGCACCTTGATAGGTGTACTGCATCACATGTAGAGTACTTTGAAAGTGACTGATGTTTAAACACATAAGAATAAATATATTTTTAAAATAAATAAATTCCATTTTGGGGGAGGTCCCCCCTCATATGTTAATTCTAAACGTTTTCAAGTAATCAGTTAATGGGAATAAACAACAATGGAAAAGTCAAACATTCCCATATCATTAACAGTATAGGCAAATATACGATCCAACACAGTTTACACTTTTTTTGGCAAATAGTGCTATTAGAAGGTATTGTAATCTAAAGGGGAAAAAAAATAATAAACTAAAAAGGAGAAGTCCTAGACTGACTGATCTTGACTTCAGCAAGTCTGTTCTGGGCCTCCAGTGTTCTCCTTTTAGAAATCAGAAACATTTAGATAATAATACTGACCTAATGGTAGTTTTAAGGAATCCATAATCCAGAAAATACTGATTTAAATTTATGTTGAAATAACAACAAAATAAATCTTGTAATTATCAGAACTTCTAAGAAAAATTAGGAAGTCTCTCAACCTGCTGGTTAATTAAACTTTTAAAAGGGCAGTGATATATTAG